AACACAAATAATGAATATGATTTATAGATAAGTTCATACTCGTGTTAGGTACATCAATTGAATCAAGATCCTACGTGCGATTTCATGAATTGCTAAATTAGTTTTGTCCTTATAAAACATTAAAATGGATGAAAGATAAAATGCTGAAAAAAAACGTACAGTATAAAGATTTTCTTTTAAAAACATAGGTGTAATGAAAAATCATAAAAATTAAAATTAATAAAAAGAATTTTGTTCTGATCAAATCAATTTAAAACGTTTGTAACGCTTTTAAAATCGGGCTAAAAACGTTTAAAAACCCTAAATAAAATAAAAGGAAGAATAACAAAATTATGTTCATGTTCATAAATAAAAGCAAATTAATTCATAACCCTTTTCCATCATAAAAACTCAATGTACAATTCGTTAATATAATTTCCACAAACGAAAAATCAAATGGTCCATAAAACAATGAAGAAAAATTTTTTAAAATACATACTCTTGAGGAGTAATTCTGTATTTTTGTTAAAAAAAAAATCATGTTATTTATTTTGCTTAAAAATGAAAAGAAAAATGAAACAGCTTCGAGAAAAACAATTACTATTATCATTATTATTTATTATTATTATTATTTTCAAATATGCTTCATTCATAAATAGTTGAGTAGAGTTGATCATCTAGAGCTATAGCTGCTAAGGTGCATGTGATGAAAACAGCCCATCATGAAATCATTGAAAAATTTTTAAAATATACAAGGTTGGACAGAAAATTAGAAATCACTAAAATGAGCTAATCCAGGATTAATTGAGAGTATGGCACTATACAAATTTGAATTGTGACATTTCTATATATATATATATATATACAATATATAATAAATGATGTATATACATAGTAAAACAATATTTATTGAACATCTAATTTGTCTAGTACAACATTCAATTAGAAGAGAAAACAATAATGCAAGTATGTACATGTGATTGTATTTGTTGTATATGTCTGAGTATGTTTATGTGTATATACTGATTCAATAGATGCTATGTGAATCTGTTGACCAGTTTTGGAATATTATTGTTGATAAACTATTTTTTGTACGATACAAGTTTGGCTACCAACCACACACAATAGGACAAAAGAATTCACTTATCCCAGAGTTACAGAAAAGTCTGGAAGAATGCAATGCTCTGCTTACTCAAACGTAAAAAGACCACATCAAAACCTACTGACAACAGAAGAAACTCAACGTTTGCATCTCCATAAGATAAGACAATCAATGAAAGAATGTTGAATAAAGAAAGTACGATGATGCACTGTCACAAGCAGAATTATTAGGTATAAACTGGTTTGATTGACTTGTGAACAGAAGAATGCTACAGGAATGTGGTCTCACAGAATGTAATGTAGAAGAGGGCTGAACTAACCAGAGGAAACATCTAATGATAAAATAATCTGAAGAGGAAAAGAAAGTTGTTGAGAAAAGTAGCAGAAAATTATCAAACCACTGATGAATTTGAATGTACAAAAGTTACACTAGATAAGTTTCTTATAGAATCATCCTTAGAATGTTTGCTTTTGCTTATACAGGTTAATCAGCATGTGCTTTTCTATTTACTAAAATTATCTAGAATGAAAATGTATATATATATATGTATGGTTTTAAATAACATTCATTTCAATATACATGTTAGAGTTATATGTACATGTTCGTTTGATATAAATATGAATGTAAATAAATGTTTGTTTGTATGTGTTTGTACAAAAAACGCATTCAGTTGTTCGTTTTCTCTTTTAAAGACAAGTTGGATGCTTGATTAAGTAGTTCACTTATAAGATGGAATCACAGCTAACTATGGAAAGTTATGTTGATGATGATGATAATAGTGATGATGATGACGAAGAGAATGATGGTGGTGTAGTGATGACGAGAACAGTGATATATCAAATATGAGTACGACTGCAGTCAACAACAAACGAAACGACGAAAATGATGATGCAAATTACGATAATGATGACGACGATGCAGGCTATGATAGTGATGACGTTGATGCAGATTATGATGATGATGGTAATTCAGGTGCCCATTAACTCTTGAAAATGAAAAAAAAACAAATAAATTAATTAAATTATTAATCAATAGTAATTGTTGTTACTTAACACTTTTACATGAAATGTTCCAACTTATGTTACCATTAAGAAGAAAAATATCCTCTACCGTTGTTATAGCTGCCAAATGAATGAATATCAACCATATAACAAACAATAAGCTCAAATTATTTCTACTACCATAGTACTACGACCAAATATAAGCACAACAACTGGACATGACCAGTAAAACAAAATCAACAATGAACCTGGTCAATGAAAGGTGACAACTTGATCACACCATTGAGAGTTGCATGGTCAGTCTGCTTATCAACGTTATTATTATCGTCTGGCAACTCTGTTCCTGCAACATTGTTGATGTCTCTTGCAACACTGTTGATGTCTCCTGCAACATTGTTGATGTCTTCTGCGTCAGGGTTGATGTCTTCTGCGACATTGTTGATGTCTTCCAGAACATTGTCATTTGCCAGGGCTATCATTCCAATATCGTCGTTAGTAATTGTTGTTGCTGCTGTTTGTTGTAGTAGCGTGTTTTTAGTTGGGGTTGTTGAAAGTGCGGAAATGTTGTAGCCATAATTTGTTGCTGATGAAATGTCATCAGTTGTTGTTGGTGTTGCTGCAGAAACACTGTTATCAACAATTGTTGTTGATGTTGTTGTTAAAATATCATCTGAATTCGCGTTAACATCATAAGTTGGTGCTTCTTTAGTGTTTGTTTCTAGAGGATTAGTCAGAGGATTATTTGTTGGTGGTGGTTGTAGGTGACAGTTTTCAGATGTTGACGTTGCTGTTGTTGCAGGAATTCCTAGAGTATCAGAAACAGTTGATCTGTCGTTGACAAGCGATTCAATGAGTTCAGTTATATTGCTTTTAATAGGGTCATCATCACAATCGTCGTTAATATTTTCAGTAAAAGAAGTATCAGAAGCAGTAGCAGTAGTAATATCAGTATCAACAGTAGTGTTAGTAGTAGCCGCATTATTACATGATGAAGGCAATGATGATGATAAAATTGACGGTTCTGAGAGAGGTAATAACATCGGTGGTGGTGAAGTTGTGGGCAACAGCGATAATGATAACGACCTCAATATGTCATCATCATCATCATCTGCATTGTAGGACAGGGGCGATAATGGCAATGACGACGACGATGATTGAAGCTGTGAGGATGACGCAAGTGGTGATAACAATGATAATGATGACGGTAAAGATGATGATGTCGTTTCCATATTATCAACGTTCTGCTGGTCACCGACGCTGTTTAACTGATGATGACGATGAGTAGGATGATGACGATGGTGATGATGATGGTAGCTAACTTTTGCCGACGTCACAATGAATCTCCAGCGTTTTTCTTTCTTGCCTGGGGTTTGTTGTTTTTTTGATTTGCCATCACCAATGGCGCCACCAATTTCATTTTTACCGCTTTTTATTTTATTACTTTCACCTGGTGTTTCTCCAGCTGATGTTTTGTCTTCTTCGATTGGAGAAAATGGCGAATCAGCAATGCCGTAAATGTTCAGAGGTACCAAGTTGCTGACACCATTGCTGAGAAACATTGGTGAAGGTGGTGCCAGCAAATTTAAATTTTCCGACGGTGTGGACGACAACGATGCAGTTGATGGTTTTGATGTTGCTGGTGGTGTCGTGTTTTCTGCTAGATTGGTGTTTAATTTGACGTCATCGTCATCATCATCATCGTTGTTACTGGTGTTGTTCACTTGGGAAGTGGATGACGACGGTGGCGGTGATGACGCTGGTAAAGGATAAAAATCGTCATCTTCATCGTCGTTGTAGTTTCTCTTAGACAGGTTGAGACTCAATTTAGACCTGAGTATCTGGCTTGAAGGTGAGGCTGCTGCTGCTGTGGTGATTGGTGCTGTGGCTATTGTAGAAGATGTCTGGACAAGAAAGGCAGCCCCAGTAACACCATCATCATTTTCACCACCGTCATTATCTCTAAAGATCAACCAGGAATCTTCTTCTTTTCCGCATATTTTCTCAACAACCGTCGCACGATCAGCATCGCCATCACGTCTCCCTTTAGTGATGAGACTATTCAAAGGATCTGTAACAGCACTAGAGCAAGGGAGTAGTGTCACGTTGCTGATGTTGTTGGCATTGTTAATAGTAATTAAACTGGTCATATTATTGTTAACAGTATTAGTAGTAACAGTGGATGCAACGGTAGTAGTGGAAACAGTGCATGTAGTATCATTAGTTGTTGCACTGCTATTAGCAATGATTGATTCCATATACGAAGAAGATGAAGATGAAGCCAGTGATGATGGTGATAAGTACAGAATATCATCTGGACTAGTAGTGATGCTTGTATTTACTGGAGAAGTAACAGTGGTATTTAAAGAACTAAAATTAGTAGAAGTAGTAATTACATTTTTACTAATTGTACAATTGACAGATGTGAGTGTAGTAGCAGTAGCATTAGTAACAGGATTTGTGGTGATCATCTCAAAACCATCAATGGTGTGAGTATGATATGTTGTACTTCTGTGCAGGGCTTGCAGGTTGCTTTTCAGAGATTCCAGAAAATCAAATTTTTCTTTTTCCTCCATACTGATGTTGTCATCGTTATTGTCAGCGACTTTGATGTCAGTGCTGTTAGTATCTTTGCTGCTGATTTTAGTGTTGTCTATGTTGGGAGTATTTTCTAGACGTTCATCGCATGTAGAACTTCGGTTATTAACTCCATCAATTTGTTGTTGTTGTTGTTCCAGAAGCTTCTTGGCCTTCTCTTCTCTTTCCTCTTCCTCCCTCTTCTTGGCCAGTTTGCAGTTTTTATCGACATAATTGAAGAGATTTACGAGTAGTCGTTTCTGCTGTTCAGCATAATCTTTGACTCCCTGGTTGGGTTTTATGCATTCTATAAGTTATAATCATTACTAACTTAACGTGTATCATTACTCTCCATCACCCGTCACAAGAACCATCATCTGACCATTCAGCGACAACCAATGACAATAACTCACAGATTCTTTTTTGTATTCCTTATCGAGATCAACTCTGACGACAGATTTGTTGACCTTGAGGGCAAGACTCAATGCCATGAGACCGGCTGTTTTGATGTCATTCTCTCGAAGGTCCAACCTCAAAAGTTTTGTTGTTTCTGCTATGTATTCTGCCAGAGCCACAGCTCCTGAACGTTATTTGTGGTCGTTTTATATGGTTAACATATGCTCAAAACATCACCAACATTAACACTATGATCATGATCGTGAACATCACAACCCTCACCTTCACAGGAAATCTTGCAAGCCTGCATGCCAATCTTCACTAATGTCCTGTTTCTGACAAGGCCATCTTTCAGCCTGTGAATGCCCTCGTTTGTTATACCATTCAGACCCAGGTTTATGCCAAGAAGACTTTTGCTCACCATCTGTTGGGAAAAGAACCATGGAGAAATGTATACATACAATCATGATAAAAAAAAATCAACAATGAAAAAGTGATGAAAAAATGAACAAATGACCAAAAATTATTTACAGATGTGCAAGCAAAAATCATGTTTACACACCAACTCTCAAGAATCCCAAACCAACTAACCAAGACCCTAGACAAAGCCACCATAGACTGGTAGGTCAGCTGATTTCCCCAAACCACCAACGTTTCCAGGCCTGACTCTCCAGAAGACAAGCCATCACAGAGATGTCCCATCCCCGTATCTTGAATGCAGTTACTTCTGAGATCAAGAAGTTGTAAGGTACGATTTTGTCTGAGCAGGGCAGATATTTGAGATGCGTCTGATGATGTGAGTTTGTTCTCACCCAAGTACAGTTCCCGAAGTGTTTCGTTGCCTTTGAGGGCTAGAACTGTTGATGGGCAACAAATAAACTAACTTATAATAATCGTTAATGATAGTGGAGATATGATGAATAAAAATTATAAATCTGAGTAACCCCAAATGTTCCTCAATCAACCAAAAAAACATTCCTTAAAATATCTACAATACAAATATCACCAGCCACCATACAACTAGTCAACTAATGACTGAATCAAACAAATGTATCTACTGACTAACCACCCAACCAGCCAACCAAACAACAGACAAGAACCTACTAACCCAAAGTACTCAAAGCCTTCCCAGATGGCATGGTGTACTCGAGATGTAGAACAGTGAGGGAGGTTCCAAATTTGAAAGCCCGTGCCATGAAGGGCATCAGATGTTCAGAAACGTTTGTACCTTTCAAGTCTAATACTTGTAGACTAGTGACCTGATGACAGGTAAGATGTGGCAAGGATGATTTTTATAGCAAGGTTGATAATAATAATAATAACAAAACAATTTTGGAGGGTAAGTTAGGCACATTATAACCATAAATTTACAAGAAATACTTTGTGATATTAAAAAATCGCAAAAGCTACAAATATCACTACCATTGTTAACATCGTCATCATCCCCATCCCCATCATCGTCATCATCATCCTCACCTTCCTCAAAAGCCTGGAACAAGCCTGCCATCCTCTGTATGCGATTGCTCTGTTGAAGCTGATGTTCAGTTTGATGCACGACTCGTAGTACTCAATTAATTCAAACAAAGTTACTGCTGCCTATGTTGGTGTCGATGTGATGTTGTGATGCGACGAGGAAGTTGTGGTGATAAAGTGGTGATGACGAGATGATATCAAACATGATAATTAAAATGAGTTAACAATAACAAGAATGAAAATTAACTACCTGGAACATTCACAACCAAAAAAAAAGAAAAACTGAACACAGGTAGTTAAATGAACCAATTAATTAATTAATTAATCAAAAATGAAAAATATAATAAATAAAAACATAATAGGTAAACATGAATGGTTTTTCAACAACATACATCATCCTCAATTCTGGCAGCCTCAAGATCAATGGTTCTAAATTGGACCCTTTTAAAAATTTCTTCCAAACTCTCACAATACTTTACATCAAGATAGTCACCTGTTTATCATTAAATATATAATATATTATTAAAATAAACAATAGTATCATTTAAAATAATTTTATTTACTTATATTAAATATTATTTATGACATACTTTTACTTAATTTAATAAAATTTAAAAATAATTTCCTTCAAATTTTAACATACTTCTCAATGAAAATGTTTCGTTGCGTAATTCAAAATTGTTGATGGCCTGAAGGTGCACAAATAGAAATTTTTTTTTTAATAATTTGGTTATATTTCCATTTTGTAAACAGGAAACGTTCAAACCTGAAGCTGTTTTAGAACTTTAGGATTATGTCTGATTCCTAGTTTATCACAGGACCTCAGGTATGATCTGACTAGTTTCTCTGTGGTGCATTGTGATGCTACAAAAATATAAAATAATTTAAAAACTCATTCACTTTTATATTATATTATACCACCAAGTTATGTATCTCATTAGTACTTTTTATATTTTATTAATAATTAAAAAAAACATTTTTAACAAAGTTTGAAACATTGTACATAATATAATAGAATAAAACAAAATACAAAAATAATAAATATAAAACACACAGTGGTGCCAAGGAATTGGAGGATCCATATATCCAGATACCACCTCATCGCCCTCAGGAAATGTCACCCTTTTTTTGTGGGTTCCTTTTTTGGTACCCTTATCACGTGACCCCCGTCTATCACCTTGAACATTTGTCAAAGTTGGGGTGGACTCCAATTCATTTTTGTTTTTGCTGGTATCTTCAACTTTTTCTTCTTCTTTTGGCTCTTTGGTGTTACAATTATTTTCAGTTTGTTGCTGTTGTTGTTCTACAAGTTGTTCTTGTTGTGTTTTCTGTTGTTCTACAGGTTGGCTTTTTTGCTGCTGTTGAGATTGTGATTCACTGCCCCCACCTTTGTCAACATTCACCAGCAACAATTCATCACTTTCAGACTTTCCACTCATTTCGTCAATTTCACTAATTATTTTAGATACAACTTTGCAATTTATTTCGCATTTTAATTGATGTTCATCTGCTTTCATTAAATTATCGATCGCTACAGCTTCGCAATCTATCAAGGAAGACATATTTGCTGTTATATTTACGCCAGCGAGGTTCGCGTGGTGTTCAACATTCGCTTCTACAAAAGTTGTATTAGTAGATGTCTGCCGTTATAAATGCCAAACACTGCAAACAGCAAGCAGTCTGGCCGCGCTCTGGTGGCAAGAGAATTGAACAAATTTGTTTAGATAACGAAACAGAAACTTAGAAATTTTCAAAAGTCCAAAATAAATAGAAAATTAGCAATGACTTAATAGAAAAAAAGCTTCATGTGATCAGAAACAAAAGTTGGGCAAAAAAAGTAGTGAATTTGGAATCTAAATGTAGAATTTTGAAGTCGAAAAAAGAGGAAGGAGTGTTATAAGTATATGAGCAGACGTGGTAACAGAGATTTGTACGGCTTTGATCTGCTTGTGGCCAACTGAGTAAGTAACAAACTAGCAATTGCAAGCATACTTTAGCTGGCAGTCACATTTGCCATTGTTCATACAAACGCAGAGCTCATCTTTAAACGATGATTATATGTCGGCACGAATAGAAAAGTACATTGTAACCTTTCTTAAATCTTACTTTAATCAAATGGACATTCAAAACACTCTAACTGGCATTGAAATATATATAAACTTTCCCTCGAATACATCACGTTTTAAAAACTTTTTAAAACATAGTTAGTTCAGTGACACGGCTATATTTGCTTTCATAAAAATAGGTTGCCTCGTAAACATTAACAAATGTAGATGCAATACAAACAATCGTGTAATGAACGAGGAGGTTTGAAAGTCTAAACTTATTTTTCTTCTCGCCGTTGACAATCTTGTACTTATGTCCCAGATTTGGTATAAACTATAATAAACTTAAAAATTTTTTTTTCAAAACTGAAATTCAAAATTATACAATTGAGGATATATATATATATATATATATATATATATATATATATATATATATATATATATATATATATACCCTCAAAGTTAAATTTAAATAATTTAATAAAATAGATGAACACAGAATTTTTAAAAAATGAAATATGTTAAAATTGCATTCTGTAATTTATACACGCACTTATCTGCCTGTATAGTGTATATAGATAGAGTAGACGATTTAAGATATAATCACTGCAAAGAACATGATCTGAATATAAATTTATATAAATAGGTACTTCTACATATGAAGATTTAATGATAATAAATAATTATAACGGTGATGATTAAAACTGAAATGTGTTACTACAGATGACGACGATGATGATAATTGTGTGATTAGATTCACCTATATTAATAAATAAATTTGTTAATTGGTTAATTAATTAATTAATAATATCCATCAAATATAGATCGCGTGTGGATTAATTTGATTCTGAAAATCGTGATGATCTGACAATGTTAATAATCGTGTAGATGCTGACGACGCTGCGGTGATAACGACAATGATGATGACGGTCAAGACCAAACGGACAGAAGAACCGTGATAATGACACGACAGTAATGAGTGACGTGATAAAAAATAACTACAGCGATGCATTAATGACGAAGATGACATAGTTAATAATGATGCTTTATCGGGTGTATAGTGATAATAATAACATAACGATGACAATGACGATAATAATGATGATAAATGATGATGATGGTGGCGGAATATTTTTTACAAAAGTGATAACTAGAAAAATCAAGCGTTTTTCGCGTGTTTGTATGCAAGCCATTTAATCTGCAAAATGTTTATTTTTTGTTTGTATATGTGCACATTTGTCTAAGTTAACGTTTCTGTATCTGTGTGCATTTGTTTCTGTATCTTCATATGTGTCGTGTCGTTTTGTATGTCTGCGTGTATGTGAAGGGAATCAAAAAAAAATCATGGGAATAAGTTGAAAACAAAAAAAAACTGCTATAAATGCCTGTATACGTTCATTATTTAAATAATAATAATAATAAATTGTATAATAATAATTGTAATAATAATGAGAATAATAAAAAAATAAAAATATATATTATAGATTGTATCCTCTGCATATAAGAAGCTACATGAACGAGAAAAAAATAAAATAAAAGAGTAAACAAATGAATAAATGAATGAATGAATGAATAATCGATTAAATAAATTAATAAAATCCGAATATATATATAATGGCAAAAATTTACATCTTGACTATGGTTGGTTGAAAAGAAAACACAAACTAAGAGACTAAGAATAATAATAGTAACACTTATGAACACACAAACACACAGAAACAAACACACACACAAACAAACACATATACACATACAAACACACACACACAAACAAACAAACAATCACAAGCATACATACTAACATAGAATAAAAAAAATATTACAAACAAATGTAGATTGAATTGGTGAAAAAATAAAAAAAGCAAAATGAGATTAAAATAGCAAGCACGTCGATCATGCTAACATTTTAATTAATTGAGGCCGAATTAATTAACCTGATGGGGTTAATTTCAATTAATTAAGTTGAAAAATTGGTGCTTGGGCAATGAATAAAATGAATATTGTTTGGAATAAAAATAATGATAATAAAAAGAAGAAGAAAAAGAATAATAAGAGCATGAATAACGTTTGAACGTTTCAGACATGACTTGACTAGCAGACAAACAAATTTAATATACTGAAGAACTGATGAATGAAATGAGTTAATTAAATGAATTAATAAATAGATGAATAACAAAGTAAATGCAAAGAATGATGAAGAGTGAAACCCAGAAAACAAACAAACAAACAAACGAACGAACGAACGAACGAATGGTAAGTAAATGCAAATGAAAGAGAAATAAATAATGAAACAACAGCGCAGCTTATTGAGCATTATTATACTAAAACAAAAACATCACATTAAACCACAAACAACGATAATAATATACATTACCGATAACTTCATTGATAACTAAATAACAAATAGCAACAGCGCCAGCAATTTTAACAACAACAACAACGACACGACAACAACAACACCACCACCAACAACAACAACAACATTTATCACTAAGAAAAACATCAACAAAACAGTCATAACAGTGACGATAACATTTACATTAATAGTGACATCAACTAAAAACAATAATACGTTAATAATGCATGTATGTGTATGTGCGTATATGTATGCACGAACGAATGTATGTATACATGTTATGCTTTTGTGTATATGACAATGCATTTTATATGTATGTATGTATGATATGTACGTATGTAAGTATGTATGTATGTATGTATGAATGTATGTTTGGTAGAATGTATGCATAATATTGATTCAAGTAAATTAGACGGCATTCAATATTTTTCTACCATATATACATTCATATCATAAAATAAACATAACAAAATACTAATTTTAAAAAATTTACACACTCACACACACAAAAACACACACACACAAACACAAACACACACACATGTATATATATATATATATATTTTACAATATTTTCTAAATTCTACCGAATGTTTGGCGTTAACATGTTTGTAGTTCGTTTTTTTTAACAAACATGTTAACGCCAAACATCCGGTAGAATTTATAGAATATTATAAAAATTATGGTCTATTACCAACATATATATATATATATATATATATATATATATATATATATATATATATCAACGCAAATATGTGTTGAGGAAAATTTATATATATATATATATATATAAATATATATATATATATATATATATATATATATATATATAATACACAGCACAGTACGTTGAGATTCTGCGTGAGTTTAACAACGTTAAAAGCTAAAAAATGAAGATGACGATGATAATACTAATGACATGACAAAAAATTATATTTTAACGATTAATACCTATACAAATATATTTAATAATCATATAAATAATAATTCTACAAATAAATACTAATTAACATAAACAATAATATAAAAAAAAATAATATTAATTTAAATAAATAGAAAAATTTTATAATAATATCAGTCTTCTAATATAGATTGAAACTGAATGAAAACTCTCAGAAAAAAAATTCAGTTAATTAATTAATGAATTGAAAAATAAATTCTATAAACATCGAATTAATAACCAACACCATCATCATCGTTACTATCACCCTCATCATCATCAACACCTTCATCATCGTCGTCGTCATCATCCTCATTGCGAGTAGATTTCGACTTTAAATGTTTGCCGTTAGCAGCGCTGCTACTGCTACTACTGACGCTATTAACGACGCTACAACTACCACCACTACTACTGTTAACATTACTGACTCTAGTATTAGAGCCATTACTGTTGTTAGTGTAAATGTTGCTGTTTGTATTTCTGTAATCTGAGATATTTTCATCTTCGTCATTGTAAGATAGTTTAGTAGGCTTCAGCCTTGATATGGGAGTTTTAAAAAATTTGTTCGGTATATCTATTGGTTTCGTCGACGAAGACGACGACGACGATTTTGTAGTAACAGTATTGATAGTAGTAGTAGTAGTAGTAGTAGTAGTAGTAGTAGTAGTAGTAGTAGTAGTAGTAGTAGTAGTAGTAGTAGTAGTAGTAGTAATAGGAGCCACAGTAGTAGTAGCAGTAGAAACAGTGGCGGTAGTAGTTGTTGTTTTAGTAGTAATATTGTTATCATTTGCAGTATAATTACTTAATGTTATATCGTTATTCGACGCTGGTAGAAGTAACTGAGGAATGAGTTGTTGCGTTTGAGCTAAAGTAGCTAAGGTAGTATCTGTAGTAATTACACTAGTTGATATACTGATGATATTTGTAGTATTAGCATTAGTAGCGAAGTTAGAATGCTGAGTGGAGGATGTGATGATCATGGTGGAGGGTACAGGAGAGGTGTGAGCCACGGTCGGGTCTGTTTGGCTTGCCTGCGTTCGTATATTCGTGCACGCGTATTTACCTGGTTGTGAATGAAAATTAATTAATGTCCTTCAGGAAATCGAAAAAAATGAAAAAAAAGTAAATTACTGATTCCCCGTGCTAACCAAAGTCAGGGTTGATAAAAGAAAACCCGTGGAACTCCTTCTGACTGATGTTTCTAATGACCTTGGAGTCGGTTGGAGTCAAGGTCGGTCTCGTGTCGGTGAAGGTCGTCTCGAAGTTGCTCACGTCATAGCGTGACATCTTCAAGATTGATGGGTGTGAATGTGAATGAAGAAGAGAAAGAAAGAGGAATACAAATAAACAAAGACAGAAGGAGAAAATGAAAAAGAGAGAGAAAGAAAGAGGAAAAAGGAGAAACAGTGGGAAAAATGAAAAAAAATTAATATCTTCACCATTAATAACTCCGTTTCTTACATAATAATTATCAACACAACAAGCGCAACATCAATGAAGAGAACATTTTTAATTAAAATTAAATATTATTATTATTATTATTATAATTTATTGTTGTAAACATCGGTAGAATGTGGAACCGTGACTAACAATTTTTGGTTTGAAAGGTGGTTCCACCCTCCTTTCTTCGACGGCTGTCCAGTCGATCTTGCCCTGGAAGAACTCATGCTTCTTTATGGCCTCCTCTCCCCCTAACTCCTCCACACATCCCAGCCTCTTGTACGGGTCCTTCGTCATGAACTGGTGGGGTTTGTTTGTTTGTTTGTAGGGATTTGTTTGTATGTTTGTTTGTTGTAAGAGTTTATTTGTGTATCTGCGTGCTTGCGTGTATATTTTATAACTGTGTCTTTATGCGTTGACACTTATGGTGGTGGCATTCAAACTGTATTATGAAATGAATTATTGCTCCGTTGGGAAAAGAACCATTCACAAAGAAAAACAACAACTACTAATACAACGATACAACGACCAGTTAAAACCGCATTCACCACACACCCACGCAAAGGTGAAAGGTTAAAAGGTTAAAAAAAACACCTAACCCCTTTCAAGACAGACACTGCTTCCTTGGAGAGCCACACAGGGAAGAGAAGTTCATCGCACTGAATGGATTCAAAAAGATCTTCCTCACTCTCTCCATCAAACGGGGGCTGTCCCGCCATCATCTCATACATCAGCACCCCCATCGTCCACCAATCTACTGTGTAGTTGTACTCTTGCTCTTGCAGTACCTTAGGTGCAAGTTTTTTACTGGCTTGAAGTACTAGTATTACGCTTCAAAGTTAAATAATTTTTTCTTTAATTTGTTGGTTTCTCTTTTCGTTTAAATTTTCTCATATTTATAAAAGTCTTCATCATAATTTCGAGAACCATTTCAATTATAATCGTTGCCACGACGTTACAATAATCATCCTCATCATCCTCCTCCTCCTCATCATCATCATCTCCATCATCTTCATCATCGTCACACCCACAGTCACCTAACCTCAGGTGCAATGTAGTCGGGCGTGCCACAAAATGTCAAGGTCGTGTCTCCAGGAAACATGTTGTCCTTGCACATGCCGAAGTCTGCTATTTTGCAATGGCCTTCGCTGTCCAGCATTATGTTGTCCAGTTTCAAGTCCCTGCATCGTGACGATGGTGGTGGTGGTGAAGACGATAATGACAACGGTGACGTAATAAAGTTGACGAAAAGGTTGATTTAGTTTTGTAATACGCGTATAATTGAGTGTAGCAAACATTTGACGCTCACATGCAAACAAACAAAAGACATACACAGACAAAGACACAAACAAACACACACAATCCACTAACCCAAACAAATCTACACATTGAAACAACGAACCAAATACAAAAACACAACCGACCTGTAAATGACTCCATGTTTATGGAGGAACATGAGCGCTAGTATGACCTCTGAACTATAGAAGCGCGTCCTTTTCTCATCGAACTTCTGGGCTGCCAGAATTTGAAACATCAGATCGCCTCCCGCCATGTACTCCATCACGAAGATTAACTTGTCCTGTCGTTTGTCATAAGTCAGCAAAATAACCACCGCCAACAACATCGTCATCAACTCTACACCATCCATCCTCACAACCACCAGTGCAATAACTAATCTCATCATCATCCTCAACTTCAACCGTATCCCAATAAGCTTAATTGTAACATTTACGGTTAAAATCAACCGCCATTTACAATAAACTAATACTCTCTCTCTCTCTCGCTCTCTCTTTCTCTCACCTCAGTTTGAAAGCAAAAGTGAATTGAAGTAAGAAATGGATGTTTGGCATTGAGTGAGAGAACTCTCTTCTCCGTCATGACACAGTCGACGTCGTCATCCATTAGAACGGAACTCTTTTTTAAGACCTTCAGTGCATAGAGAGATGAGGTTGGTCTGTGCTCCGCCAGTAAGACCTACGTTATCATCATAGCGATTATCGTCTTGGTGATCGTGATGTGGCGATGACTAAATGATGTATTCTGATGACGATAATGATGAGGTGATGGGTGACGACGACAAGGTGATTGATGATTGAACTAAATGATAAATGACATTTGTAAACTGAAATAAACGATAGTACAATACAGGCAAGAGCGCACCATACTTCAAACCAAAGTCGTACCTTTCCAAAACTTCCCTTCCCCAGAACTTTTATCAAAGTAAAATCACTCAACAAAAAACCAAACGACGACGACAGCGAAGACGACGGGGACGATGACGAAGACGGTATTTTATCAGTTGATGATGATAGTGACAAAGCAGCCAGATGATGATGATGATGATTATGATAAGCATCTTTTTTCTTCACAGGTGATTGGCTACGGGTTCGTCTGGCAGAGTCGTCGTTCGTTTGCGTTATTTTCAGTTCTTGGTTTGTCGCTGCTGCCGCTGCTGCTGCCGAAGACGATGGTGAAGTTGCGAGGTGCTGCTTTTTTTGGGTCATGTCACCGCCTGTGTTACGCGTTTGTTTGAGTGTGTGTGTGCTTGTGTTTGATTGGTGGACCAAAATTTCAAAAATTTTATTTCAGTTACATCATCGTCGTCACCATCATCACCATTAACATCATCATCATCATCATCTGTATCATCGTCGTCACCATCATCACCATTAACATCATCATCATCTGTATCATCGTCGTCACAATCATCACCATTAACATCATCATCATCATCATCTGTATCATCGTCGTCACAATCATCACCATTAACATCATCATCGTCACCATCATCATCATCATCATCATCGTCTGTACTTACTCTGCATTGGAAACGGCGATGAAATAGTTCTAAGATCATGCTGATGATGATGAGGAAGAAGAGATGATGAGGGCGATGATGACGACGATAAAGGAGGTGGTGACGACGACGATGAAGATGACATGGCAGCTAATACTGAGTTGTCAACTGATAAGTTACTGGAGATCTGCAAGTAGAATGAATTAGTTGAAGACTTACTCATTCATCTGTTCATCCATCCGTCCGTCCATTCATACATTCATTCACCAGATATATATTGCATCTCTGGACCAAATTAAAAATACAAAAACTGTTATAAATTGAGAAACATCAAAACAGCCAAACCAATCGTTGGCTACCTTCTTTTTCTTATTATTATCTCCTCTGGCGAAAAAGTATCCTGCCTTATTTTTACCTTTACCCCCGCTACCACCACTACCACTACCACCACTTGTGGTAGCTGAAGCAGGGACGTTGTGGCTCTCCCCTGACAGCCCCAACTCCTTCAGAATCTTGCCCATCTGCCCGGTGTTGATGCCACAATCGAATGGGATGTTTTTTTCGCATCTCTTGTGCACGTTGCGTTTACAGGCTGCATGCATGAATGGATGGATGGATGGATGGATGAATGAATTAATGAATTAACTGAAAAATGTACAAAGTAAATGAATGAATGATTGAATGAATGAAAAGAACGATAGATAGAAATACAAGGTATAATCAAGTAAATAATCATGTTTATCATTTTTATTAGCAGAGACATCAACTGTGAAGTATATGATGGCTCACGTAAGACGATGCAACTGATTTTTCTGACTAATAAAGAAATGATCTCTCTTTGAATTCAAACCCAGTAAGTGCAATCAACGCAGCACTAAATGCTCTCAAATGAGCCATAACGCCATCTCACCACCAAAGAGACGAACAAACAAAATGAATATACGAGCAAACAAACGGGCAGAAGAAAAAAAAGAACTGATAACTTAATAGACTCTAGGATAGCTAGTTAACAGCAAGACATTTATAACAGTGAATGGTTTCAGAATTTATAATAAAGTCGTGGCAGAAGTCAGAAACGTAGATGATTAATGTAAGCCCTGACCGTCACATTGCAGCCCCTGTCTGAACAATCCATAGAGCAGCGAGCCACAGTGGTCGCAGAATGTGAACCTCTTGTAATTGTGCACCTTGAACCTGTGTGGCACCTCAATCTTGAACCTGTGACCTGGCACCTGGCGACGAATTAATGAGAAGAATAAAAATAGTATTAGTAAGATTAATTATATCAAAGATTTATTGGGGGAAAATCCCTTATGTTAAGTAAATGACATTCAACGAAATGGTCTCCAAATCACAATATCAACAACAAAATTAGCAACAACAGTTAAACTAAATAACAACAACGGAAAAATAACAGTTACAGGAAAATAACAACAGTTACATTAACAACAACAACAACAACAAACAACTGCAGTAACAACAGTAACAGACCACTTCGTTATTTTTATTTTTCGAATGTTTCATTCCAGGGCAGATCGTTATGATGTCCTGGTGGCATCTTTTATGAACGACGCATGTACATACTGGGTGATTGCCATTGTTTAATTATTATTTATTTGTGATTGGTCGATCAACATGGATGTGGGAGGGGCGTGGAAAATAAATTAACATACAGCAACATAATAAAGATGAAATCATCATATCAATATTAACCTTGACATTGGTACCCTTGTGGTGATGTCAAGCCCCTAACAAATCAATGAAAAAAAATCAATGTCCTCAACTTTATTCTCAACAAGCCTCAACAAGATAAATTTGTAAAAAAAACAACAACAATACAAACAACACAATATATATATAAATATAATGAAGAAAACAAAAATACAAATAATTATCTTAGCAAACCAACCAAATGAAATCATTGCATATAGAGCAGAAGGTAGGTTGTTTGAAGAAAGTGGCCATGAACTTGTGACCCCTGACCTGATGAACCCGCCTCTTCATGGCACCGTGCCTTTTGTGGTGGGGACCAGCATGCTCCTTGAAGATGCGCTCTTTTGGTAGGTCTGCAACGAAACCATTTGTACAATTCAATTGTTTTTTGTCAGTACGTCTTTGCAAACTTTTAATTCCAAATTAATTATCAATAATTAATCATAAAAGAAATGTTACATTAATCGTTCAATTTACTATTTAATTTTTATATAACCACCTTCACAGAATGTTCCATTGAGGTCAGCTGATATTTTCAATTGACCACTGGGCTCCAATTTTATCTAACGGTGATCATATAAGAAATGAATTACTGCTGATAAAACTATTATAAGTCAGTGGTCAGAAGTAGATGCAAAAAAACTTTGCAGGGCAGCAAAATAGTGTAATGGTTAAGATGCTTGGCAATGCAGTTGCACTGGCTGGCTTTAAATGCAAAAAGATCTTTACCTATCAAATTTAATGTGTGTGATGTATTTGTGGTTGTTTCTGGTACCTCTATAAAAATATTAAAGGCAGAATTTGAAAAAAAAAACTAAAATTTTTAAGCCCACCACCACAGCATGCCATCTCCACAACCACAACCACCACAGCAAACTGACCCAGGTTTCTGCAGCCTCCCCCATAGTGATGAACTCCTCGAAGGTCATAATGCAATTTGCCACAAACTCATCCGGCGGAATGTTTGTGTCGTGGAAGACGGTGATGCACAAATTTTGACCTTAGTAGGCCAGATAATAATAATAAATAATTTTAATAAATATAACCATGTTTAAAATAATAATTATAATATATATAATTATTATGATATAATTATTATTACATTATAATTATAATGATAGCTATCAGTAATAAATAACTAAATAGTAGTCAAAGTATAATGTTATTACACCAGGTACAGTAGATATAGTATCGGTCGAGTAAATTTTTAATGTCATTGCTTTAAATAGTAATCACTGTGGAATTACTAAATAACTATTAGAAGTAGTAACGTTAAATGTTAAGTAAAAAAGCAGTAATGAATGACTATGATGATAAAAATAGTAGTGCCAGTGGCATTCCTTGAAGATTGTGATCATAAAAATCTGGTACATTATAGTATAGTGAAGCCTTAATTATTCAATTAAATGAACATTATTTTTTTTTAAATTGCATCAATTCACGTTGTCACAAGTATTAACACCATTATCATCAACATCAACATTAATACTACCATCTTTGTTATCATCATCATGTGATTTGTACTAACTATAATTACTATCACTGATCATCATCATATCATAGCTCATCGTTTTTATCATCACCACCATCATCATCATCACAAAGCTCATCATTATCACTAATATCATCACCACCATCATCGTCGTCATCTTCACTACCAACCATTATGAATTTCAGCTGTAAACTTCTCATTCCAAACTGGGCAATATGTTTTCTGCTTCGTTTTGGTTCGGGCCAGCACCTTATCATCGACGTCAATTGTGACATATGAATCTAAACTAGCCTTCAATCCTCTTACACTGACCTGTTATACAAATGGCAAAGTCATCCTTTAAAAATAATTCAAGCAATATGAAAATAAGCAATAAAAAATACAACAAGATTATAACAGATAAATTTATAACAAAGTGCTAGAGAGATAAACTGATAAAGATTTAATATAATATTTTGTATTTAATATATAAATCTTATTCCAAAAAAATGTCAGATTAAAATAATTAAGAATTACCAGTGCAGACCACCTTTAAATATAACTATTGTGATATGAAACAATCAACTAGCTACAAAATATTTTTCTTTATATAAGAAAAGTATGTTATACTGATATAGACATCCATTGAATAATGTGCATTTGATCACTAGGTTAGTTTCATGACCATAAAAACAACCGACAATTAACATTAACATTAACAGATACAAGCATTATTTATTTATAATTATTTTATTATTTTATAAATTCATAAATAATAATATAACAACTTGATGTCTGGTAGAAAAATTGGTTGGCTTGAGATCTTTAGCTTCAAAGACAGAGATGATCAAAGTGCCATTGAAATAGACCATGTTTTAGCTAGATGTGTAAGGTCAGATTTTTCATCTATTTTTAATCACATTGAATAAGTAAGAAATACAACTCTGAAGTACTCTTAGTTATAGTATAACCAGCAAAATAATTTAATTATTAGCCACAAACAAAGTAGTAAAAATTGCTACTTTTTATCATTCAAGATTGAAATTTTTAAATTAATTGGTCTTTCATATATTTGTCTGCTGCATGTCTGTGTGAGGTTGATCATCATTCATCTGGTCTGGGCTCTGAAGTAGCTGGAAATTATCAGAACTGGTGGGATTAAATAAAATCAGTTAAATGTAGTAAATCTTTTTTTTAATTTAAATTTTACATGGTAGAAAAAAATTAAAAGAAAGAGAATGGAAAAGCAGCTGATTAAATAACAAACTTTATGTTTATAAATATAAATTTTGGTAAAAAAAACATTTTATCACAATGCACGATTCAGAAAATTATTTTAATCACAATATTTGAAAATATTTAAAAAAATAAATATTACCAACAAACGCCAAAAAGAATTCAAACGTCCATAAAATTAAAATATTACGAAACTTTGCAGCAAATCTTTTAATTTTTTAATGACAACATATGCCAGATTAGCTTGATATTAAAAAATTCGATTTAAATATTTTTAATGAATTTTAAAGAAAATCAAATTGGCATAGTATTTTTTACTTTATATTAAACAGTAATAGTTGTAATTAAAGTTAAGTGATTGAAAATTTGACAACTAATTCAGAAAAAAGAACGCGAAAACTAAAAATTTGACAACTAATTCAGAAAAAAGAACGCGAAAACTTTATTTGGCATTGCGTTACATATCGTTTATTAAAAATGAGCAATCATCATCCTCCAAAAATCTTAAAGTAATTTTACGTTAATTAAAATGTACGAAAACCCGAAAAAATATATTAATAATGAAAAAAGAAAAACGTATACTACAAAGAAATATTTTAAATCTTAGCGATTGAATAAAAATTGTGTAGTCACAGATCCTAAAATGTTTACGAGAGACTTTTACAAAGTCTGTGTGACGATTGTATAGATAATGATAAAACATTTACAAGGCACTTTTACAAAATAATGATGGTGTAATGATCGTAAATATAATGATGATCCTAAAATTCTTACAAAACACTTTCACAAATGTTTTTTCTATTATTCTTTAAAAATCAGTATCTGATAGACGCAGAAACTGTTACAGCATGCAAAGTAGTAGTATAAAATTAAATGAACAAATAAATCAACAAATAAATAAAAAATGTAGAAAGAAAAATGTTTAAATATGAAAAGTACTGACAGTAAAATAACGTAATGACATAAAGTTTTATTGAGTGTTAATGTTTGAATTTGAAGTGTCTTGTGATGAAAGTAGGTGTGACGATCGTAAAGATAATGATGATCCTAAAATGTTTATAAGATAATTTTACGATCGTAAAGATAATTATAAATTTCATGTCTATGCTACTTTTACAAGACAAATTTACAAAGTATGTTTAACGATCGTAAAAATGATGACCCTAAAATTTTTACAAGACCCTTGTATGTGTAACGATCGTAAAGATAAGGATGAATTTCGTGTCTATGTTATTTTATGTATATATATATATAGAAGAATATGCCAGTACGTAAGTGTATTCTAGTTATGTTATATGGTGTATGCCACTAGCATTTGTATTTTCAAATTTTCATTTGTCTATGCTGCCAACGACCATTTTAGTTGCACAATATCGTTAGTTATCATTTGTTTGGACGTTTATTTGTTCCTTGTCGTTTAGGAATTATCTTGTTCGTCATCGCATCATTTAATTTTTCCCGTTTTTCAGCAGAAGTTTAAGACGATCGAAAAACTGACGATCGTTCTCTTGACTTTCGGCGTATCTTCAACCAGCAGTTCATACCTGCAGGTTCAAGTTCCTGTTGTTCAGTCAGAGTCTCGCTTTTATGAACATCTAACTGACAAAGAATTGTTAAATAGAGATTATTTCCAATTCTGTTACAAATCTCCAATCACAGTTGATATCAGCAGATCTATTTTGCGATTAGAGTTAGTGAGAGTGGTAGGCAGCTGTTTTGTGCAGCTGTTTGGTGCAGTGTGATTAAGAAGTAGTCATCTTCTCTATTGATTAATTTTCAGCAGTGGCCATAGTGAAGAAGGAAGATAAATTAGTGTTTATTTATATTTTTATATAAATAAATCACCACTCAATTCAATTTTCAATTGACATCAATAAGAGGAATAAGAAATTTAATATGGCATACGACGGTGAAGTGAGTACTTTTGTTATTTATTAAAATATTTACATTTTTTATTATTATTGATTTGATTTTGAGATGTTCAAATTTGATTAATTTAATAATTTATCTATACTGGATCTTTAATGATAAATTGATAGATTCAAATCTTACTGTTTTTTCTGATATTCTTGCAGGATATAAATTTAATATTTGTATCCACATAAAATAGAGAACAGTTTTTCAGATTTTTATAAATATTAATTAAATTTTTATGATTCTAACAGGACACTTACATACCTGATAAAATAGCCAAAGCAGAAGCAAAGATTATTATTCACCCCTATGATGTTGAATCTTGGAATGTTCTAATCAGAGATGCACAGGTTTTTTTTCTTACATGCATCAACATTTGAATAATTGTTGAATTATTGGCTAATAAAGTTTTTTATTCGGTTGAATAACTTCAATTGTTTTTTTTTAATATTTTATTTAATTAACTTTTTAAATCAAACTTTCCTTTAGACAAAGAAAATTGATGATGTGAGGCCGTTCTATGAAAAATTGATTGAACAATTTCCAAATTCGGGAAAATACTGGAAAATATACATAGAGCATGAGGTTGATTGAAACTATTGTTTTTAACAATTAATTCATTTTATATTGTTAACACATTCACAACATTATTTATAAAACAGTAATTATATACAGCTGTTGTTTTATTTTTGGACAAAAGTCTGGTTGGTGTTTTTCTGTGATACAAACAAAAAAACTAAAAACTAAAACAGAGTCTTGTTTCAAACAAAATTTTGTTTTTTAAATGATATCACGTCGAAACACAAAAACTAAATCAAAAATTGAACAAATGCTCATCGTTGTAGTTTTGTCTTACTACTATTTGAAAATATAACAAAAAATGTTTTGTGAGGTTTGTCACAATTCATAACAAACGTAACAAGCCGAAGCATTAACAAACAAAATCTGAAAACTTTTTTGTTGTTTTACATCTTTTTAAGACAAAATCAAGAATGAGCTCTCAGGTGACGTTGGCAAAAGTGTGAGGCTGTTAGTAAAATTAGAATGATGGTCTGTTACTGGTGCTGACAATGTTTTTTAAACTTTGTACTTTCTTCATGAAATAAATGATTTCAAATCTCCACAGACTTATCAATCATTTTCTAAACTTGAATGAAAAAAAAATAAAAAATTGTCTTGTGTCTTGAAAAACGTGAACTAGATTATTGCCTCAAACTGTTCACACACACACATATATATTTATATATATATATATTGGGTTCAGACACATATATATAGTTTTTAATTTCGTAAAACGGTGGTTTTGGGGGAGTCTGATCTTATCCCTGGGTCGAAATGCATGATAAGTTCTTTGAGGGAGTGATTAGATAGCAGCTTAATTGTTCACTGTGGCTGAGTCACAGTTGAATTGTGTCCGTGTGTTTATAGGCAGGGGCTGCGTGTGAATGCTAAAATAGCAACGCTTAAACTTATCTTGTTTTTTTTGTATAATATTTTTATTTTTTCAACAAATGGACCACAAAAATTCCACATTGTTGAATAATTTGAAAAAGGTTTGTACGTAAGAAACGTTTTTCATAATTTTTATGTTATTAAACATTGTTTCAATTCAATCAACTAATTAATCAATGAAATTTCCACGTATACAGGTTAAGAGTAAGAATTATGAAAAAGTTGAAAAGGTATGTTGCCTAATTATATGCCTTCTTTTGTTTTAAAATTTGCTAATGTGTAGACATTATTTTAGTTGTTTGTGAGTAATAATAATAATAAGAAATGAAATTAATTATATGATAACAACCAACTCTCCAGCTGTTCCAGAGATGTCTGATGAAAGTCTATCACATAGACCTGTGGAAGCAGTACTTGTCTTACATCAAAGAAACTAAAGTCACGTTACCATCATACAGGCAAATTATAATTTACTTAGTTATTTCTTACAATGTCCTTTATTAGTGTAGTTCAGTTTTGTAATTATTTATTTCCAGTGAATAAATTCAATTACGAATATGATGAATTTATTTGTATTAATTTACGATTGATTTGTAATCTGCAGAGAAAAGATGGCACAGGCATACGATTTTGCACTGGATAAGATAGGAATGGATGTCAATGCTTATCCCATCTGGCTGGAGTATATCAACTTTTTGAAATCTGTGTTAGTTTTCAGTTCAATTATGAATTTTCACTATTTTCTTTTCCATATAGTTATCATTTCATTTGCACATCAGCTATTTTTATTAATTTGTAACTCATGAATAGTAGACCTAATAACTGCATTTATGTAAATTATTCGCCTAAAGTTTTAATTTTTCTCAATTGAAATACAGGGAAGCGACAGGATCATATGCGGAGAATCAACGTATAACAGCCGTCAGAAAAGTGTACCACAAAGCCATCATGAATCCAATGCTCAACATTGAGTTGTTGTGGAAAGATTATTGTGCTTTCGAAAATGTTTGTTTTTCCGTTTTCTTTTGTGTGTGTGCGTATGCATGCGTGTGTGTGTTTAGATGATAATTATGGATTTGGCGTATTTAAAGAAATATCTAATTCTTCATTATTGTATTCTTGTCACCATCAGCTTCTTAATCTTCTTTATATGATTATAACTAATGATTTTTTTTATCCTCACCATGATGGTGATCAGGGAATCAACCCGCTGATAGCGAAGAAGATGCAAGATGACAGGTTCAAGGACTACACGAACACTAGAAGGGTGGCCAAGGAGTATGAGGTCAACACGAAGGGCATCAACAAGAATGTAGCGTCTATCCCACCGAAGAATACTGTTGAGGAGATTAAACAAGTTTGTGTCTTGCTTGTTGTCTTGTTTGATCTGTCGTTTGTGGTTCAAGTTATGGAGAATTGTTTAATAACTTTTATGTTTTTGTTTTATTTGTTAGATAATATAGCCTAACTATTTGTTTCATTAAATAACGTTACTGTAGGTCGAACTATGGAAGAAATATATACAGTGGGAAAAATCTAACCCATCAAGAATTGAAGATCAGACTACAATTACTAAGAGAGGTTGGTTGTGTTGTGCTCTGCCTGCGTACTTGTATAATTATTTTTGTTTAGACATACTTATTTATATTTTTTTGTAACCAATATGCAACCTTTTCGTACTCTGTGAAAATAATTTTAGTTAATAAAGTAAATTGTGTTGTGCTCATTTCACTAAACTTGTTTTCTCTTTCTCATTTTCCTCTTCCTCATCATTCTCTCCCTTGTTATCACGTCATGATTATTATCATCTACATCATCGCCACCATCCTTATAACCATTATCATATCTCATCTGCTAGTGATGTTTGCGTATGAGCAGTGCTTACTCTGCCTGGGTTTGCATCCGGATGTATGGATTGAAGCAGCCAACTATCTTGAACAGTCCAGTAAGCTCTTAGCTGAAAAAGGGGTAAGGATATTCTTTTATTTATTCACTCATACATTTAGCAACCGGTTGTTTTAATGGTAGATAGATTTTTTTAAAGTAAAATTACATGAAAACTTTGAACTATTAAAAATCACTTTTCTACGATATGTTCATTTGTAATTAATGCATTCATTTTTATGTTCATTATTTTAATTTATTATATAATGAATTGTTTAATTAAATTATATATTGAATTATTTAAATAAGTAAATAACTTTATTAATTTTTATCATCTAACAGTCAGACACAATGAGCAAAGTGTTTGCAGATGAAGCTGCCAACATGTACGAGAGAGCAATATCAATGGGGCTGAAGAACTGCCTGCTTATTTATTTCTCCTATGCCGATTTCGAAGAAGTATGTTTCATTTCATCTTATTGGTCATATTGTTTGAATTTGATTGGTTGAGTTGTTTGTTCGGTGGATGGGTGGAGAAATTAGATTGGTCAAATTTGTAAATTATATTTGACAACTTAGTACGTGGTTTTTTGGTTTAATTCATTTGTAATTGATATTTTAATTTAAAATAAAATTTCTGGTATGATTATAACGACCAAATAAAATGATTAAACAGAGTCGAATGAAGCACGAGAAAGTACACAGTATCTACAAGAGGGCTTTAGAGTTGCAGGATGTAGAAACTACACTGGTTCGTATTACGCTTGCTCATATGTTTCTTTATTCATTCATTCATTTATTAATTCATTGATTTGTTCATGCAATCTTTCGTTTGTTCATGCAATCATTCGTTCATTTGTTTGTCTAATCTTTTGTTCACTCACTAGATCAATTTATTGTTCACCCTTATATGATTTTGTCAATCCGTCATACCTTTATAGCTAATTAATATCTATTTTTTAATGTTAATTAATTAATTAATTCATATTATAACGAAAAATAATCAATCCCTCACATATTAGATCTACATACAGTACATGAGGTTTGCCAGGAGAGCTGAAGGCATCAAATCAGCAAGGTATGGTGACTTATTACAAATCCCTTTCTTAGCCAATTTGTCATTACTGTTTGAATTTTACTATAGTAAGACTATACATCAACCTATCATTTAGTATTATACTTAGCTAAAAAAATAATTTACTGAAATTAGATTAGTATTCAAGATGGCTAGAGAGGATCAAAGAACGAAATTTCACGTCTATGTCACTGCTGCATTGATGGAACACTATTGTAGCAAGGTTGTTGTTGTCGTTGTTGTTGTTGTTGGTTTTTGTTTTTATACTTATTTTTTTGTTTTTGTTGCTGTTTTGTGTTGTTAATGTTTAAATTATCTCTAATTAAGGTGGTTATGAAAGTGAAAAATTTTTTAAATGGAATTTTTTTTCGTAAATCTTTTTTCAGGATGGTTCCATTGCGTTGAAGATTTTTGAGTTAGCCTTCAAAAAATTTGGACACCAGTACGAATTTGTAAACGAGTTCATCAACTATACTTCACATCTCAATGGTTTGTTGAATATTAACATTTAGGTGTAAATGAAAATGAATAAATGAATGAACGAACGAACGAATGAATGAATGAATGAATGAATAAATGAATGAATAAGAGGGTGTGAAAATGAATGACGAGAATTTAAATTTATCTATTAATTGCAAATGTAAATGAGCGGCTAAATGGCAAATTGAATAAACTGATTAATAAATTGATTAATTATTAAATAAACGAGTTTGACTTTGAAAATGACATACTTTTGTAGAGGATAACAACACACGAGTTTTGTTTGAGAGGATCTTGACGGCCAACCAGATACCACACGAGAAGACATTGTAAGTTTGTGACAGTAACAATTGTAACATTAACAACGATAACAAATAATAATAGAAATAGTTATGTGTTAATGGATATGTCAATTTTATACAATCATATATAAACTTACATACTGTCATGCATACATATAAACAAACACACTTGCAAAATCCTACAGAGATATATGGAACAAGTTCGTTGAATTCGAAGCAAATGTTGGCGATCTGGCCTGCATACTCAAATTGGAAAAACGAAGATTACAAGCTTTTGGATCTGTATGTATTTACCGTTTTTTATAATACTATCAGTAATTATACCGTAACAAATAATATTTTAATATAATAATTATTATTATAATTAATAATAATAATAATTTATTCTCATTCAAGGAGTATGAAGGTAAAGAAACCTCGCTGCTGATTGACAGGTACAAATTTCTCGATCTCTACCCCTGTCTCTCCCATGAACTGAGGTCCATGGGCTTTAAGGTACTTATAATAATAATGACGACAATTAACATTTTAATGTTATTATTATTTAAATTATTATTTAATTGAATTGTTATTATTAGTATTAATGATCGTACGCAATCTATCTATCTATCTATCTATCTATCTCACGCAGGATCAAACGAGGACGGCTTCAGCACTTCTCTCATCTTCATCAGCAGCCTCATCACAGCACGACAACATCAACAACAGCACCAACAGCATCAGCAACAACATCGACTCCAGCGACCTCGATCTTAATGTTAAAAGGTCCAGGTTCTCCAGAGGTCGCCTTGCTTTTCCTAACGTCAACCAAATGTTGCCATTCAAACCGAAGATCGGTCCATCAGATTCTTCACATCCGGTTCCAGGCGGGGTTTTCCCGCCTCCTCCAGCTGTGACCGATCTTCTACTCAAGTTACCGCCGCCATCTTCATTCACCGTTAGACATTTTCTTATTTCTATTATTATTATTAAATGGTGGTTTTCAAATTTGGTTGTAAGATATTTTAGCATGTTATTAATTGATTATATTTGATTATATTGTTATTTTTTAAATGTATTTACTGTTTTGTTACCTATCAGGGCCCTTTTGTGATAGTTGATCAGTTGATGAGACACTTCTCTTCTCTCAACATACCAGATGGTTAGTCGATTAGATTTGTTTAACATTCATTATGCTTAGTTTGTTCATCGATTCATTTTAATGTAACATTATAAGTTTACTAAAACATGGAGTGGTGCATCTTACTTAACTTCATTTCAAATGTATAAATTACTAAGAACGGTTCAAACCAATCGCGGTACTTGTTACGTTAAGAAAGTGCAAATAGGACAGTTAATGGACATTTAAAGCTAGAAAAATAAACCTTATTTAGATTAAATAAATATACATCACCGAACAAACCTCCAGAATACATACCAGGTGAGACGTGCGTTGACTATCCAAAGATCGATTTAGGTACTCAATACTCTATAGAAGCTTCACTGATTAGGAAGAGAAAACATTTTGAAACGAACGACGACGGAAGTGACGACGAGATGACGTCATCTACCACCAATCCCCCGCCAGCCCACGATGTATTCCGACTCAGACAACAAAAACGGGCAAAATAATGCCTCTGTGATCATTATTATCAACAATAATACAATTTTAATAATGAAATGATTATGCTATTTAAATGTTGAATTCATGATGCCAAGGAATGACCAATTTTCATCTTTTATTATCCATAATTTAAATTATTAGTTTTTTAATATTGTTCTTATTAAGAAATATTACATTATTATTATGAAATACATTTTCATTATTATCATTATTATTTTAACGCTCTGGACTGCCGCATATAACGCCATGAATAGATAATTGCGAATTTATTTAGGTGATCGTCCATGGTTGTTGAAATTATATTATATCAATTAAACTGAAGTTAAACGCAAGATTTATTTGTTTGTAAATGGGTTCAGTTGGTTATATATCCTTTCGTTATTTTTTTATCAGCTCAATTTCGTTTCTAGCGAATGATCATTTCATTTGTTTATTCGTCCTATTCTACGATTAACTTAGTGATCGTAAACCAAGAAAGAACCGTGACATAAAAAGATTGAAAATAAACCGAGAGTACGAACGAAGAAAATTTAAACAAAGGATATATATATATATATATATATAACATATACATTTTAACCATTAAAAAGCAATTCATTTATTGTCTGAATGTACAGGAGTTTATTTCAATCAACGAAGCCAGTTGAATTCAGAATAATTTTGAATTGTTTGTAAATAAATAAATAACTAAATAAATACGTTTGTTAATATATAAATCTCCGGGTTTTATGCAAAACAAAAATTACATTCTTTAACCATTTAACCACAACATAGATGTTTCAGTTCATCAAATTCAACAAAATTGTAATATAACTCAAAAATGACACACACACACACACACACACACATATATATATATATATATATATATATATATAGGATTAAGACAGTCAGAATTATATATATATATTATATTTACAAGAATTTACACATATATTTATGCAACACCACGAAGCGGTTGAATTAGTTCTCCCCATCATAATCATTTCCGTTGACCTTCAAATTCTTGTAAATGACTTGGGTCAGCAGGGGACAGTCGGGCAAACTTGAAATCAGTTCAGGTTTCGCGTAAGTTTCATTAATGTTGAGTAGAATTAAACTGGGCAGTCGTAACCTCAGGATACCTATTTAAATGTATGCAATAAACATAGTTAAAAGCCCATTTTAATTATAATTGGCTAAAAATTTAAGCGCGAAACGAGTGTTTGATTAGTGGGATTTAAATGTGAATAGATGCAGTGAGCCAATGAATATGTCAAAAAATCTCAGCTGTTGAACCTGCACTTGTGACTGAGGTCTTGCTAAGGTTGAGTTTGGTTAGTTCACGGCACGCGTCCAAATATCCCGATGATATGAAAGTGTCTGTAATGCTGTGTGTTAGAAAAATTATTCGTTAATATTATAGAAGTAATTTATATTCAGCGAAACGATTTTACAAGATCATATGTTCACCTTGTTATTGGAAGACTTAACTGTTGCAGCTGTGTGAAATCTGAAAATAAAATATGAAACGGTTATTGTAATATGGACAAATCAATTGCAACAAATTCACGATTAGCAAGTTAGCTCAGGCAAGTGAAAATGCAAAGAGCATCACGTTTCAAAGGACTGATCAAAAACATTTTGTAAAATTGAATTTATATAAACTCACGTGGAAATATGCTGCACCCAACGTCAGTCAACTCAGTTCTATCAAGGTGAAGCTCCTGAAGAGATGTCAAAGCTGAAAGAGAATTTCATTTATTTTTTTTTTTAAATTATAATTGAATAAGTAGAAATAATATTTCATTAAAAAACGAATGATAAATGTTAAATCTTTGATTGACAGTACTTTTTAACTGCAGGATTCCTCTGTCAGTGATCTTAACGTTTCTCAACGAAAGAATTTTCAACCTATCAAATTAAAAAAAATATTTGTCATAAATGAAATGATAAAACTGACTGCATACGAATAAATACAAGCATGCATACAAAATACAATCCTTTTAAAACAAAAAAAAGGTACATGAGAGTACCCTAAACCACACACGCACGCACGCATACACACAAAAGCACACACAAAAGAATACACACCTTGTCATCAGTGCAATAGACGACATCGACTCGTCGGTAATGTAAATGAAATTCGTCAAATCTAACGCCACTAGTGGCATTTCTGCAATTATTTTAAAATAAATTATTAGAAATTAATATAAAATCAACTATCAATTAATTAATTCATCTATTTATTTAAAAACCGATTTTTCTGTTAATAAAAATGGATAACATATAGTTGAAGAAAACAGCTGACTTGTTAAGTTAGGCAATCCTCTGTCTGATAAGGTTAATCGATTTGGTAGGTTGAATTGACAGAGCTTCAAATCTTGTTGACGAATAAATAAGTTTAGCAATTAAATAAACACTCTTTATATTAGTCTCATTAACATTGTTACTTTATTGTGGAAAAGCACTCCTTTAAATAACGACTCAAGCCATAATCAACTAACGACATAAATTAATTAATAGCTGACGATTAGAGTGACAAATGACTCAATGACAATATAATTGCAGTTATAGTTGTTTATTCGCCACTTCATACCGCATTCACCATATTCACCGTATTCCAACCTCAATTGTTAATAAATTATGGCCAAAACACCTTAAAATTTTGCTATTAAACAACGGTTATCACTTTTTAATAGATATCGTTGAAAATTGAACCAACCGGAAAGTAGGGTGAGAGCCTTATTAGTAGAAACTTCAGAGGTCTCAGATAGATCGAGAGATCTAAGGAACTGCATGCCTCCCAGTGATGCTAAGCCATCTGCCGTCACTTTCGTTCCACTCAAGTTCAAAGATACCAGGTTTGGTATTTGTTCGATACCCTTTGTACCAGTTATCTGAAAGCATGAGATATGTATTGGCGTGTGAGGTATACAAAACGTATACTACTAATTTGTATTTCAATGATTTTGAAATAGATTTTATTACCTGACATCTTCTAAGGTTCAAATTCCTCAACTTTGGAATATCTGTTGAGAAATATTATTAACGATTGCAATCATTATTATTACCATTATGATTATATATTTATTATGATAATTAATTTATTAATATCTCAAGTTGCTAACTTTTGAATGAAGTTAAAGAGGAATCTGTGATTGGGCAGCCCGCAAGAGACAAGAGTAAGACGTTTGGCGGTTTTGATTGGCAGTAGGCCGAGATACCAGAGTCAGACATGCTTGTATTCTCTAGTGTTAACTCCTCTAAACTTTCCAGAGCTATTTGTGGAAAAATAAAATTTAATGAAGTTATTAAAATTTCAAAAATAAAGTTTAATCAAAAAAAGTACATTGAAAATGAAAAATCTAATAAGAGAAAAAAAAAAATCTTTTCTCACCAATTAATGTAGGCACGATATTGTCTGACAGTTGATAGCAGTTACTTAGGTTGAGGCTTTTTAAATACTTGAGACCTGGTTGAAGAAATTTGAAAAAAAAATTTTATTATAAAAATATTGAAAAATTAATCATTAACGTATTCAACTACTATGGTTCATCATATATTAACTCAATTAATTAACCAATTAATCAATTATTTACCTAATTAATTAAAACTAATTCATTGATAACTAGACTAACCACTGATGGATTGCAGGCCTTCAAAGTTGAACAAATCACAGGACGACAGATTAAGTGATTTTAAATACGGAAGATGCCTTTAAAAGTTTAAAAAAAAAAAAAATCTTTATATTTATTAAATTAATTTTAAAAAATTAGGAAATTTTGGAAGAAAATAATTTTTGATTGGTTATCAACCTGAGTGAGGTGACTAGTTCATTGGTGCAGTAGGCATAACAATTCAGATTCACTGTTCTCAAGTAACTTGAAAAATAACAACAGTTTTTATAAAAATCAACAAATTTAACAATGATATATAAAAATATTATGATGGTGAAGAAAGCATATAAATTAGTCAAAATTCATGAAAATCAACTTATAAAGTGCAACCAATTTATGCCAATCAGCTTTTAGTTAATCAGTCAATCCGTCAGTTAGTTAGTCAATCAATCAATCAATCAACCAATCAAGCAATCAATCAACTAACGTGAATAAATTTAGCAGTTTTGGAGTAAGCAGTTTATGTTTAATGAAACCGTCTAACAAGCATTCAGCCGAATCGTAGGGTAGGCAGGATAAACTGGTTGGTAGAGCATAAACTGATTTGCTCAGTGACTTAGTGATGTACTGGATGCATTGACTTTTTAATAACGGAACAACTTTCAGCGCCGGTGGTGATGGTGATGACGACGACGAAGATGATGACGCACTGCCGTTTGTGGCTGATGGACGCTGCTGAGAAGGTCGACGCGGTCTACTGTGTCTGCTTTTTGCCGCTTCGGCTGCAAAAAAACAAAGTATAATTAATTATAAAATAAATTAGCTAATAATTAATTACCATCAACTAATTAACATTAAAAGCTAGTAATCGATTAGTTAGCAATCATTTTTATATATGTTAATTGAACTGACCAGCAAGTTGTTTGGGATCTTTATTTAAATGGTCAAGGACAGGCATGCCAAATATCTGCCGAGCCAAACTGTGGCCCTCCCCCCAAAAGTGATGACTTTCATCTTCCTGAAAACGTTGATTCAAATCTTCATCAAAGATTCCTCGAATTCTACGTCTACCTTGAAAATCCCTATCCAAATTTCTGGCACGAACACGTTGATTCCAATTGGCTGGTGGTGGTCTTTGAGGAGGAGGAGCTAAAATTGATACAATTCATATGGTGAAATTACATTCATGTCATGTTTTTACAAATTTATTTTAAAACCAACCTTGAAATCTGAGTCGGTTCCAGTAATCATCTTCATCCTCCTGCCAATCTTCCACTCTATCATCGTCGTCATAATTATTGACCCTATCAAAAGCCGGCTGAAACCCGCGTACCCAGTCACCATCGGCATTTTCAGCGACTTCTCTACCAGTGTCATCATCATCATTATCATCATCTGCATTGTTAACATCATCTTCATATACGTCATCATCTGCGTTATCATTATCGTCTGCAATTTTGTTGCTGTCAGCATCACTGGCATCATCAACTTTATTATCCCTCTCATTTCTGAAACCTTTAGCACCTTTGTCTTCGTCATCACTTCTGTTTCTACCGCCATCTTCTTTCTGTTCATCTTCTGGTTTTGGTTTATAATCTGCCTCATTAGAGGCTATTCACACAAAAAAAAACAATTTAACCCATTATTGTAATGAATTGTAATTGAATGATAAATTTTTACTAAAACAATTGTACAATTATTATCAATTAAGAGTCATTATTGACGACCATCTTAATAAAATTTATTGTTGTATTGAAACTATTATAGATAAGCATTGTAATGAATACTGAATATAAAATACCTTGAAGTACGTAACCAGTGCCCCATTTATTAAAGCGAGTTGGTAACGCGGATCGGAATGACCTTCCAACGTTCAGATCACAGTTCGTGGGTAGAAATGAGCTGCTGGAAGTTTTTTCTGCAAGCGGTTGATAATTTAAATTTGATTGATTAATAATTAACTATCTATGCTTACATTGTTATGGTTGTTATATTGCCATTCGTGTTAAGACTGTCATCACAGATAACATTTACCCCACAAACAACATTATAAAAATCTATCTTCAGTGAGTTTAATTGTATAGTGACTTGCGTTGCCACCATCATCAATCATCTTCACTGCATTCATCACCAAGCTTACCAGTCACCATCACCAAGCTTACCAGTCACTATCACCAATAAAAATAGCATCAACTGACCTTGGATAGTTTGATTTTTTTTAATGATCAGACTCGCGGATGGGACAAGTTTCAAATTGGATAGCGTTTCATTATCGTGACTCGAATCATATTCAACGTGTGGGTAGGCCTGAAAGCAGTTGGTGTAGGAGAGTTTTGGTGATTATGATTATATGACTGTCTTGATAGTGTGATTATGATTTATATTCAAAATAAAAATGGCCCTGATAACAAAAGGACTCTTTATTTAAACTCAACTATTATTAATGTAGAGTTTAAAAAAAGTAAAAATAAATTGTTTAATACATCATATTACAATAAATTACAAAAAATATTGGAAATAATGTTGTAGGCTAACTTGAGCCAATGACAATCCTTCTCTATTGAGTTGATGTTCAACCTCCAACTTGTACCACACATCTGACAATGTTGAGTTTACGCTTGTTTCTATTAGGATTCGTCTCCCATCCAATAATTTCACCTGTTTCAATTTGTATCATATTTATTTTATATTATAGTTTATGATTATTTATTAAATAAATAAATTAATTGATTGATTAAAGTATGAAAATGAGGAATTTTGTTAAAATGGTATCATAACAAACCTGCAATCTACACATCTTGCATTGGTTGCCATCATCAGCATTCAAACCTGGCGTGGCTTTAAATACTTTACTTGGTGGAATTTGATTGGCTGTCTGTGCAGCTCGATTGACAGCATTTAGACCAATAGAAGTTGTTCCTTCAGATGATGTTTGATCAGATTGGCTGGGCCACATCAAATCACGTTTCTCACGATCGGCCTTGATATCATTGAGAGCTTGTTCGTGAGCCTTCAATAGAATGGTTAAAGTTAACAAAAATATCATAAACTGTCAACATTATTGCCAAAAGATGTTGTTGTAATAATAATAATGACAATAATAGCAATATTTAATATTATTTATAATTGAATTTGAAAAAACAAAAATTGACCATTTTTTTCCTGAACTTCTCTACCCTAGCTTCCTTTTTTGCTTTCTTCATTTCTTTTTCTTCAAATTTTAATCTAAACGAACGCTCTTGCTCTTGAGTTCGATCCCTTATTGATGACATATTTGATGATGTCACTGTTGACGGACTAAAGGGCTGACTTGTTGTTGATGGCTGATTGGTCTCCTTTGAAGAGGAAAAAGCATGAGGAGTCTGAGATGATTTTCGATTGAGTCCAGTAGAAATATCATAAACAATCTTAATTCAATATTAGTATCAATTTGTAATTTTACAAAATGTAGTAGTAACAGGCAGAATTAAATTTACAATTGTATGAAATAAACTAAAAAAAAATGTACCGTATTAAGTTTGAGAACAGGAGCTGGTGTAGTAGCTGGTTTTCTGATATAAACAGAGGACATTGGTTGAATGGTGGTGTCTTTGTTTAATAACCTGAAATTAAAATTTAATTATTCAATTATTCATCCTCTTGGTATCATATAAAAATGTTTAACCTTAATCATTTATGTCTAATTGTAATTGAAGATACTCTATGTTATGAAAAATCAAGATGATCTAACTAAACTGATAACATAATTAATTCAACCTTGAGATTAATGTAATGTAAGACTGAAAAAATTATTAAACAAAATTTTTGTTACCATTCTACTGCTTCATCAACTGTAAGTTTTCCATTTTGAATTGCTAGCTGGCAGTCCTTCATCTCAAACCCCATACCGACTAAATAGGTGATTAGGTCATGCACGCTCTAATATTGAAAAATGTCAAATTATGATCAGATCAGATAAATTTTGAAAACATTATTAATTAAATCAATTCAATTGATAGATCAGAAAATATTGATGAATTAGTAAGTGAATAAAATTAATAAATGTCAAATTATTTTATTTAATAAAATAAATATAAAAAAAATCAAATCAAAATTAAATTAAATTACCATGGAGCCAGACTGGGACTGATCACTACCTAGCATTCCTTCCATTTTTTAATGTTTAATCTGTAATAACACTTTAAGATTTTGACGAGAGGAATTTTTCTAGAAATACTTTTTAATAATTAAATAAATAAAATTCTGAAGATAAAAATCTATAAGCTGAAAAAATTGAACACAAATTAAAAGGCACACTCTAATTTCAATCTACTTTTAGTAACGTAGAACTAAACAGAGGTAAACAGAGATATATATATATATATATATACATAATTTTACGGGAACCAAAGAAATTATTATGACTATTATGCATTATGACCAAAGACTACCTACATAATCGTATTGTCAATATGTATGAATAAAAATATGGTATGACATCGTAAATTTTTTTATAATGTTAACATAAAATAAAATAAAAAAATTATTTTAAACATTATGAATAATTTTCTTGACAGTTGAATTTTGTTCACACTACTGAATTATATAATATATATTAAATTAAATTTTATAATATTATATACAGTTATATAATTTCATGGTTTACACAAACTATTTAATTTTTGTACAAAAACAAATGAAAGCATAAAGTCTTTCCATAACTTAAAACTTATATCATTTAGCAAACATTTATCTAAATTTAAAAAGTTAAAGTTGAACTTAAATAAGTAAACTAATAACATTAAAATAAAGTATGAATTAGTGACAAAATTAGGAATCCTTTCAAAATCGTTCGAATTCTAACGGCAGATATGGGCAACGGTAACTCAAATCTTGACGAAAATGATGATGACGACGATGACGAAGGGATGTCGACCAGAGATGGGAGAGGTCAGGTAACAAGCATTCCAAACGAAGTCAGACCCAGGCCAAAAATAGGCAGACAGACAAAATCCGGCAAGTCATCTGCAAATGGCAGCAAATCAAAGACGGAAAGTCTTCGATCGGCATTGTCAGTTGATGCAGAAAGTCAAGAAGTGGAACGTATCAGGAGAGAATTTGAACTATTTCGCATGAGCAAAGAGAATCAATTAACAAACATTAAGAAGAAAGAGAAAAAATTAGAAACAGAAAATAAGAAATTGAAAACTGAACTTCAGGCCTTGCAAAAGACTTGTAAGAAATTAAGAGATGAGAGAGATTTTGCTATGGATGGTGAGCAAAGAGCAAGAATGAGAGCCTCTGCCATTGAAAATGACCGGGACAAGATACAGAGGCAGTTCAAGGTATGCTCATGTCAATCAACTTAATAAGTTGTTTTTTATCAATTAAAAAAGCGAAAATAATATTTAACATTGTAATTTTAGTAAAATTTTAAAGATAGCAATAGTGAACCATACCATTTAATTATTTTTTTACTCTATCTAGATCTTTAGAGAAACCAAAGAAAATGAGTTACAAAGTTTGCTGAAGACAAAAAGGAATTTAGAAGGAAGGTTAATGAAATTAGAATCAGATGAAAATAAGGATGAGAATTATAAATCTATGGAACAACAACATCGTGTTTATTTCAATGACAGTGAACATCAACAACAACAATTTACCCTCGAACAAAACCAGTCTCTGGTGGATATAATTCTCAATGATCCCAAATCATCACCCATCTATCTCAATAGTATGAGTCATCTTTGTGATTAAAATGAAGTTGATGATGATGGTGATGCTGATGATGATAATTGTTGCAGTGATTTCATGGGGATGATGTTGAATGATAGAATGGTTTAGAAAATAAAAAGGTGTGTTATTTTTTTGCTGTTCCTATCAGTGTTTTTGTGTGAGATATTTCATTTTCAATTGTCTCCAACTAAATTTATTTTATTCTTCGATTGATTGCTTGATTGATTGATTCACATTCACTGGTTGTTTGGTTGACTGACTGGCTGATTCATACATTCATTCATTCATATAATGATTGATTGATTCATTCATTCATCCCAGAGTACATGTCAAGGGACCTGAGCAATGTTGTTGATGTATACCTGGTGAAGGGAAAAGGCGGTCTCCAATCTGGAAATAACGAACCAACCTTCAGTGTTAGTTTCAAATTTTTCATAAATATTATGAATAAATTTTGATCATGATGGTAATGATGTTTGATGATGTGATGATGACGACGATGATGACAATTAAAAATTTGGTATATATATATTTAGATAAATTTAAGAAATATAATTTGATTTAAATTTTTTTCAAAATTTATAAATAAGCAATCTAGGTAATTTTGTTACTTTAGCTGTTGAAGTTTTGGCAAATTTATAAATTTATCATTTATTTAACAAAAAAAATACTATTCATCTTATTAATTTTTGTTCTGTTTAGTTTCAATATTGATTTGTTTGTTGAAGGATTTTCAGCTAAACATACAGAAGATATGTGATGAGAAGTTTCACGTCTGCAATTTTTGGCTGTTAGAGAACTCTTGCAATCTTTTTAAGGTAAGTGAAAGATTGGAATAGTGGTGTGAGTGGATGAATGAAGTTTTGAATGAAGGAGTGAATGAGTGAGTAAGTGAATGAATGAATGAATGAATGAATGAATGAATGAATGAATGAATGAATGGATAGATGGCTGATTGAATGAAACAATGAATAAATACAGGAGAGATAAATTAATAAAATTTTTATTGAATGAATGAATGTAAAATAGAAAGAACGAATGAAATGTTGAAGAATAAATTAACAAACTCGTAAATAAATAAATTAATAATAATAAATATAAGGTAATAATAATAATAATATAATAATAATAATAATATATGGTAATAATAATAAATGTTATTGTATAATAAGTAATCGGACTAATTTCAATGCGCCCCTCATAGATTAGGAACAAAATATTGAAGAATCCAACGTCCAATCAAAATGCTTCATTCCTCATCATCATCATCAACATCATTTCTTGCAGGGAAGCTGATGATGATAACGATGATAATGATTTACAAATGTTAGTAATGATGGTGACAATAACGAAGTTATGATTATTATGTAATAAAGATGATGAGCAGAGTTGTCAGTGCTACTTGAAAATACTCTTATAAATTTATATAAAATAAAAATGTAGCGTCAAAATTTCTACCGCTTCTTTTTTTGAACTATTATATGAAAAGATTTGTGGAAATATTGTACTGTATTGTACTTGATGACTTGTATGGCGTCCCTCCAGAATGACATCAGAAGCGCGTTAATACAATATTGTTTTCCTATTTCATTTTGATTGGAATCTTCAACTTTATAGTCAGTGCGTTGAAGATCAAATCGACCGTCTAAAATGTGCAATTTCACAAAGAGAAAAATATTATTATTTTTATTTTGATATTTCTAAATTAAAATCTTTGTATTTTTTACTGAGAGAAGCAGTTTTCAACATTTCCTTGACCGCCTGTTAGCACGTGTTACAACCGCATAATAAAACCACGTGCTAAAATTTGATAAAACCAAGCGTTAAATTTAAAACATTCCAATTCTGAATTAAACCACTTGTTGAAGTTGAACAAAACCACGTGTTTAAGCTGAAACGTCGTGCTGAAATTGAGTAAAACTACGTGCAAAAGTTGAAACCGCGAATTTTCTACGGAATACAATGAAAACCAATCCGCTTGAGTTGCAAAGTAACAAAAAAAACAAAATTAAATCATTAAACAGGCTTGTTAACGGAACGAGGCCGTTTAATCTACGCTTCTCTAATTGGAGGATAATTAATTGTTCAGGAAAGGTCTAATCTCTAATGAAATAAAATCTTTCGACTCAAAACAATAGCGTCCTTATCGGTAGCTATCTCATTATAGCTCTAGAAGGAGCGTCGCTCCCAACATCGCTTCTGCCCGATAAATGTGCTACCACTGCCGCTCTTCTCCTGATATTTGAATTAATAATAATAATATTATTATTCTGTTGACAACCCTGATAAAGAGGATGGTTATAGAAAAATAATGTTTTAGCTGTATGTCTGAGTTTATATTTATATTGATCAGCAATACTGTGATATATATGTATATTTATATATATGACACACGATTTTACATTATAAAACAACTAGCTAAGTTAATTCGAAATATTTTTTTCATATTTTATAGACATTTATTCAAAAATGAATCATATATCGACAGTAATGTTGAAGAACTCGGGGACAACGTGTTCACATTTAATTCAGAAGATGGCGCTGATATGTCGTCCACCTTTCAATCTGTCCAGTCTCTGATAATCAATGTATTCTAACTTCATGTCTTGTTTTTAAATATATTGCATGTGTTTTCTTTTATGATTTTTAAATTTAAAAGATTTTTTCCGGAAAAATAAAATGGCAGCATTTGTTTTTGAAAGTCTAAGACCTGAGCATCATCTGGATTAATTTGTATGACAGGAAATAGAAACAAAAGACTGCAAATATACGCAAGATTGCCTGAACTACTTGGGCTGGGATAACATCTGGTACTGGCAGAGGCAACAAGATTATCATTACTTTAATCTGTTGAGGAGGTTGAGTGAGAATGATGCAACCTGTGCTGATTGCCATCTTAAGAAGATTAATTATCAGGTTTTGTGGCATCCTGGTCAATTGTCATTCAATTTTTCAATTAACTAATTAATTAATTGATTATTGATGTTTTAATTTTTTTGTTTCTTGCACAGCCCTATTTTGATCAGCTGTTGCAGCACGTGACCACTCCAGGTCCACAGCCTCCGTTGTTGGTTGAGGCCCCTGAAGCTACCACACTCACCAGTCTTCTCGTTAAATGGTGTGGTTGAAAGTTGTTGTTGTTGTTGCAGTTAAGAATGTCTTATTGTTATTGGTTTTTGTTTGTTTGTTTTTATGTTCTTTTAATGGTTGTTTGTTGTTGTTCTTGGTATTGTTGTTGTTGTTATTTGTTGTTGCTCGTTTTGAGTGGACGAATTAAAAGATGAATAGACAAAATTGACGATAGAAAATGATATAAATGAACGGTTGGTTATATTTCTCTAAAAAATATATGGTAGATATTACTAGATACGTATGTAGATGATTTTATGAAAGAAAGAACAAGTGAATGATAGATTGATGAAATAAATAAATGAATGAACGATTGAATGCAGGGTGGATGAATGTCACAGGAGGTCAACCACCACCTTGATTATCACCTACTTCTTCATCTCTCCTCATCATTCATCATCAGATCTTTTCATCGCCATCAAATGCATCATGTTTCAGGTTCTCTACATATTATAAACAGTTGTGATCTAAGACATAACTAAATATGATACAACATGACTAAACAAATCAAATAGATTAGTTTTTTCTTTAATTAGGTCATGCAATGTCTTTCAATGCCCTTTGCCCTACATTCTGACCCCAATCAATTTATTTTGGATTTCCCGAAATGGCTGGATAAGATTTCAGTTTTGTTTCCCGGCGGTGTCGTTCTCGTTATAGATCATGTTGATTATGTCGAGGTTTGCTTATTGAAATAATTTGATTCTAATTTTGTAATCTTTTTTTTAAACTGTAACTATTCTCTTCCCATTTAGAACTTTGAGTCTCGATTTGATTGGTTGACGGGTCCACTGCCTGCGGACCTGCGTGTAATTGTTTCAACCAATCAGAACGTTTCTCCTGGAGGGTGGAGGTAAAATAATTATTACTCTTTCTTTCTACCCTTTTACTTCCAATCTCATTTTTTTCTTTTTTGCTGTCTATAAATAAATTTAAAAAATTCGAACGAATTAGCGTGCTTATAAAATTACTTATAAAAATTACCAAAAATAGTTATCAAAAATTGTAAAAAATCTCCCGCCACGGAGCGTTACAATACAAATTGACAAAGTTTATGAATGAAAAGATGTCGATTCAAGCAGCTATACATTCATTATCGCATTCTACCAATTATCAAAATTAACTGACCACAGGACGCTGCCTACCTTGAGGGTCAGCCCTCTACAACGAACAGAAATCAAACAGTTATTTGACCTTTCAACTTTGAACTACAAGACTAAGGATGACGTCAACAATGATGATGATGATGTTTCTAATAAAAATCCTACTAATACTATTAACAATAATAAAAATGATGATGATGATGTTGATGACGTAACACTACTGCAACCCCATGTTGATGAGTTACTTGATCACTTGGCAGTGAATGCAGAGTTATGCCACGTCACTTACGCTGATGTTATATGCAGAGTCTTTGCCAAATTTAGGTTGGATGATCGATTGATCGTATGAATGAATGAATGAATTAATGAATGAATGAATGAATGGAAAAGTTCCATAACTACCTCTATCATTATTATTGTAATTATAATTATTGTTATCATTATCATCATCATCATCATTGGCAGACGGAACCATGCAATGGTTGAGAGATTGAAGGATGGATTGCTGGGATGCCACAATCCTGTTCAGCTTTATAGAAATCTTTTCAATCTATTGGAGTGCCTGAACGTGAAATTTTGTCAACTGATGAAAGTGAGGATGGCGATGAAAAGATGATGACGACGACGGTGATAGTTATGATAATGATGATGATGGGGGTACTGACGGTGATAGTAATGATGTAGGAGACGATGACTATTATATTTTCTCATATATTTATTTAAATTTTAACCTGACCGGTGCTTATTCTTAATTAATTAATTATCATTCAGAACTCTTTTTATTTTTTTTTGTTTATTTAATTTCTTTGTTTGTTTATTTGCGTGTTTATTCATTTACTTTTTATCCTTTTTTCTTCTTCCTTTTTTCGTTTATTTTTAGGTTCTGATGATGATATCGTACTCCAAGGATGGATTGACGGAATTCGATTTACTACATCTCATTCCTTTCAATAATAATATTAATAATAATAACAATGATATTAATAATAATAAGAATAATAATGATAAAATTGATGGTGATGAAGATGATGAAACTCGTGATAGCAACAATGATGACCAAATGTTAAATTCATTATTCCGCTTAAGATCAATCCTCAAAGAATTGTTAAATTTGAATGTTTTGAGAGTGTCGACCGCTGGGATGTACAGCTTGCATAACATCTATGTTTGTATTGCTCATGTCTTTATTAACTTGTAGTACCACTACTAATATTAGTAATTTCAATTATACTTTTGCAGTAATCAGCGGTAGTATTTGCTGTAATTAAAGTAGTTCTCATGTATTTATCGTGAGTGAGATGGTGTAGTGGGTGAAGCGGCTTCCGGCCCTGCTGTTTTAGTAAGTCTAATATAAATTAGCGGTTATGCGTGGGTTCATGACTTTATTTATGCGCTATTGTGGACTCTGATAGTTAATTACTTAAGAGAGAAAAATTTTGTAGACTAGTATTATACCGTTATGCAAGCCATGTACAAATGCTAGTAATTTTAGTTACATTTGGTTTAAAATTAGTATTTGCTTGTAGTATTCATAGTGAGTATTACTTTTTTTCATTTGGTGTTTTAATGTCTTTAAACCGTAAACTTCCTACCAGCGTTTGTACTACAGTAAGATGTTATAACATTTTTTTTTATTCTCGATGACGTAATTTAATCTATTATTAACGTTACTATGTTAAATGCTGAAAGTAATATTAATAATAATTGTAACATAGATAAATGATAATGATAAAAATAGTTTATTGAGTCAAAGCTTGTATGGCTCACTCTAAACCCGAAGTGAAAAGATATGTCACAAGTTAAATGAGATAAAGTGTTTAGATTAATGTCCAGATTAATTGAAATACAATTTAAGCAAAGCATAAACAAAATGAAGCATAATGAAGTATAGGTTCAACAATACACACACATTACATCATAATGTTATATAATGTTAATAATATATATATATATATATATTATATTATTTGTATTTATATAATAATAAAAATAATTATCAAGTATAATTTATCTCAAAGGTTCATGAAGCATTGAAACAATCAGTTAACCTTGCCGTTTTCAAGTTGATAAAAATTTCTTGTTACAGAGAACTTGTCTCATATTTTAGGTATTTATAAGTTTGTATTGGATGTTTGTTTTGTATGTATATGTTTGTATGTTTTCATCGTTGTATGATATATGTTTTTATGAACTTAGGTATGTCGTATTGTATGCATGTTTGCATATGTTTTATGTATTGTATAGTATGTTTAAGTTGTAGTGTGGGTATGTTATATATGCAGCTGATCATGTTGCGTCTGTTTATATGTACGTCACTGTATATGGTCGTGTTTGTATGATGTTTATAAGCGTTGCATAGTTAATCCATGTTTGTATGAGTTGTATTGTATGTGTTTGAGTTTGTATATTTTTTTGTATGTAGTTGTAACTGTATGTTGTTTGTATATTTGTACCTTATTTGATTCATATATGTTCAAGTTCTTGTTTATGTCATTATTTTTCAAATTTTTTTTTCAAACATCAGAGAAAATGCACGACAGAGTTTCAGAAATGTGAGTGAGTTGCTATGGTTGAAAATGAATGAAGAAGATGATGACGGTGATGGTGATGAGGATGATTTTAGTAGCTATGATGACGAAGACGACGACGAAAATAATGATGAAGATGATGTAGTAAGCAACAATCTACTGGTGGCTACTGACGATGGCTTTGTTAATAACTGCAGTAGTGATGATAATGGAAATGATCGTAGAAGAGTAATTTCAAAAACTGAAAATGATGATGACACACATAAAAGTTTCATTAGTCGTCATCGACGTTGTCGTCGTCATCGTGACATGAAAAATAAAACTATCTGTGATAATAATAATAATAATAACGGTCGTCATTATCGTGGTTGTAACGCTGCTAGGAAAAGCATTAGCAAGGCAGATGATGATGGAATGAAACTAAAGTTTGGAAGTTTACAAGATTACTTGCAGGATATTTCAACAGTAGTCTGTCTGCTTGAGAGGTCGGTGATGATGAAGATGATGATGGTGATGATGAAATGAATTTGACGACGATGATGAAGAAATGTTAATATGGGGATAAGGATAAAGTGATTATACGAAGTGGTGACGTAATGATGACGACGACGATGAAGTGGTTGTATGAAGTAAACGAATATTTTTACTACTATTGCTGTTACTTTATCAGAGGGGCAAGTTCTGAAGTTTACAAGTACTGGTCAAAGTTAGGAGTTCCTATTACGATTGTGGCCGATATTTATATGAAGAAGCTGATGGCTGAGAATGGCTAGTGTTTATTTTTTGTGAGGATTTCCTAGTAGTTTCGATGATGAATAATGATTTCATGTTTTCACGAATAATGATTCCAAGTTGATTTCTTATTACATTCATGGATTATTTGATGATTGTTTGTTTCAAATTGTTGGACAGAGTGGACGTTGAATGGTAGTTTTATATTTTTACTCTTCTCAATGGTTTACAAAATCGTTCCTGTTGTCTCAGGGATCATTTACAGCTGTTTTTAAAATAACTAACAGCAAAAACAAAAATAAGCGCCTTCTATCATTCATCTTAATGTTGAAGATAATTAATTTGAAACTCAAAATTTTAGAGAGTGACTTGGATGTGATCGAAAAAGCAACTTTCTGCCAGAGGATTGGCAGGTTTCTGATGGATTGGGGTCTCCATGACCAGGTTACACTTTTGTATATAAATAAATTCAATGAGTTTAATATTTAATTAAATAATAAATATTGTCAAAATGTTCAAAGTGTTATATTTGATAATCTAGGCATCCATGCTACTCCAGAAAGCCTTAGAACTTCTCGAAACCCAGTTAGACCCAGACGATCCGAATGTAGGTTACGTCCTTGACCTACTTTCAGTGTCGCATGAAAAACTGGGTCACAGGAGCAATTCTGAAGCTCTGCGCATGCAGGCTTTGGAGATTTTCAAAAGTGCATCTCAACAGCAGCAGCAGCAGCATTCTGATGATTTAGTGAATGGCGGTCAAGAACAACAAGCCTGCATTCTCAATGAAACTCTTGATGATAATTTTTATGATAATAATAACGTTAGTGATAGTAGTAATGGAAAAAAAGTGAAGTATCATTATAATTTTCTGGTTGCGGCCCAGTTGGACGCGTTGGCCAATTTGTATCAAAGGCAGGGAAAGTTAGTGTCGTAGTTCGTTTAGGAAGTGTTCCAAAATTTTTCATTATTTTTTGAGGTATATGATGTTAATGCATGCAATCTTATAGTTACGCGATGAATAACAATATGGGTAATAATTTTACAATTCTGAAAGGCATGACCAGGCAGATAATTTTGTGAAAAGAGCCATCTCCCTGAGGAAGAAGTTAACGAAACGAGTCACATTTGCTCAAGTTTGAAACTTTTAAAATTGTAACTTGAAAAATTTATTATTTTAAATTTAGTTTTACAAATAGGTTTTTTCAAATTTTATCAAATTTATTCACTAGTTTAATTTTTCATCGAACATTTTCGTATGTAAACCTAAATTTTGAATGATTGTCTAGCAATTTTATTTCTAAAAAGGAGGACAAAGAGTGATGATAAAGACTACGACAACAACAGCGATAACTTTCTATCAGCTTTTTTTGTTTTGATTTCACGTTCATTAATTCACCCGCTAATCAATTAATTTTTGCTTTACAACAACCTGGCAATCAAATGTTTCAAATTTTTAGTTAAATTTGACAGTCGCAATTGAACCAATTTTCAGTTCATAATTGTTTTAATTTTTCTTTTCAATTTTTCATTTTTGCACATTTTGTTTCAGTTTGCTTTTTTATTTGATTTGGTTTTGTTTGGGCTTATTTCTAGTCAGTGTTTCTTCTGTCTATTCTATCTTTCTACTACTACTACTACTACTTCAACTGCTACTACTACTTCTACTACTACTTCAACTGCTACTACTACTTCAACTGCTACTACTACTTCTACTACTATTACTATTTTTGCTCTTCCCTTGCGTGTTTGTAAACTTAATAGTACTATTTCATAATAATTGTTACTATCTATTACAAGTAAACTTTTACTAGTTACTGTTAGCTAACAGGCAAGAAGTTAACTGCAAACGCATTCTCAAGTAACCGCACTCACTACTCAACGATGTTTTTCAATTTACTGTAATCACGATTATTTTTCTAATTCTTAACGAGATGCAGTATTTTTGCATTCAGTTATTTCGATATTACTATTGTGGACTTTTTTTTGATTACTCACTTTTTAATTACTAATTAACAACATTTTAATTGTTAATCTTTATAATTTAATTTAATTTTTAGATTTTTATTTTGTAGATATATTCACTCAATGATCTATCTACCGAATAATAATTGAATACATCAACAAATTATTTTATGAAATAAAATAAAAATTTATCATCATTTGTCAAATTTTCTCGTCGTGTCAATGTAATCTCCATCTGGCGGTGTATAATCCTTGATTGGCGGCGTATCTGTTGGACCTTGCCTTTCAAATGGAATCAGTTTTTCATCAATCTGTTGAAATAAACCAAAAGTTTCAGTCAAATTTATCTGGAGTGAATCGGTTCGTTTTGCAATATGTGCTTAGTTGGATTGGCATTATATTAGATGTATTGGGATAATAAAATAGGATTTATTTAATATATTGGGACAATGAGTTTGGATATGTTTAATGAGATATGATAATGGATTGAGGTATGCTGAATGGATTGAGATATAACTCAGGATCATAGAATGCAAATTCAGCTAGCTTGTGTTGGAGAATGAAAAATGTGTATTTTTATGTCACAAGCATGTAATTAGTATGGATGGCATGCATTGGTAAAAGATTTTTGATATTGAGTGTTTAAAAAGTATTATATAATAGTAAATCAATGAGTGTTAAATGTGGTTTACCTGAAGAGCCATCTGGTATAACTCTTCTGACTCCTTCCTTAGTTCATCCAGTGCTTTCCTCTGACTGGTGATCACTCTGTTAATGATTCTCCCTTCCTGAATGAATTGATGGTATTTATATTTTGACCATCTCTTGTTCAGTTCTGACCGTCTTTCTAACTCCTCTTCTGCTATAACTATCGATGGTCTTTGTCTTTTGCTGGTTAATTTTTTTATTTAATTTAAAAATTGAAATAAATGATATTAAATTGATAAAAAATAAAAAATTGTAGTAGTAAAGGATGACTAACTCGAGTGTTTTTAATATTTGCCTGTCCCCTTCAATCTCTTCAATCGGTTTCAGGATACGACCCTTCAGCTCTAACTTTCTAATTTGTTTTTCAATTTTCTTCTGTTTCTTTACTTCTTTTTGTAATGCTAAACCAGGGTCCAATTTTTTCTTCTTCTTCATAGGTTCAGCACTTCAAAACAATTTTCAGTATTGTAGCAATCATTGAGTTATTAGTACTACTACACAATTAATTATTTTTATGTTGAAACTTGAAAGTTTGAATCAAAACTTTAAGCTTTGTTAGTAAATTTTAAAGATTTTTTTAAAAGGACAAAAAAAATTAATTAACCAATTTAACTAAATTAAAATTAAATTAAATTTAACTAATAAATTGGCAAGGGGTTCTGCCCGTGCTGTTTTGAATAATAATAATAATAATAAATATAAAAATAAAATACCATAAAATTTGGGTACTCTTTATCAAAAGAGGACTGCTAGAAGTTTGGATCAAACGGTTACTTGTGCAAATCAGAGTTAATGAACACCTGATGATACAAGATAAAAAAACAATTCAATTAAGAAAACTAATTTTAAATAATAAGAAGTTCATTAGAGACTGCACAGGTCTCAAATCTCAAAAAAATTAAAATTTAATTTAAATCGGTCAAATGTATGTAAAAAACAAAAAATAATTATTTACTGTTGTTTAAATAAGGCTTGCAAACTTATCCGTGACAATTTTAAGACGGTAGTCATCTTTTAAAAATTTAAATGTTTAAAATAAATACTTGTCACTTTGACCAAAAAAAATTTAAGATCGGTTCACTTTTAGTATGACAACACTAATTTGAACTAAGCTCTGTGTTTGATGATCACCATATAAATTAATAGAAGGTTCCTGGATTCATAAATATGATTTTATCAATTATAAACTTTTAACGATTTTGGTACTTATGTATAATTTTGATTTATGAAATTGTATTTTGCTATATATTATAATAATCAAAACAAAAATTTGTTTAATTCAGTTTTAAAACAAAATATCCAAAAACGAATAAAATATAAGAAGTACATACAGGAACTGAGCTATAGTACTCAAACATAAACGTTAATCGAGAAGCATTTGAATCATTATGTCATATATTTAGTATTTAAAATCTCGCACAACCATTATTTTTTTGCTGTTTGTCTAAGAATATTACAGAATAAAATTCAGTCTAAAGCTTTGCCGGTGTCAAAGAAGAAACACAGTATGTTGATTTGAAACTAAAATATGTTTGATGAACGAAACAAACAAATAAATACAACGTAATTACACAATTAAGCAAAATCGAAAAAAGAAAGACATGATGTGGCATTAAAAAGTTTTTTAAAAAAATTAGCGTTTTAGCTGTGATTGAAATGTCATTAATTTATTGTAAAGTTCTCGATTTGATGTCGCTGAACATTTAGACAGGACCAAATCGACGTCATCTTCATTTTTTGTCTGTATTGCCAGATCACCTGCCTGCTCTAATAGCCTGATGGGAGTTAACAAATAATTATGTTACGTGCCATCAAATGTTAGGCTATTAAAAGTACCCTAGAAAAAATAGCGATTTCTATATGATCCAAAAAATATTTTGTATTTTGGGCTTATTCAACTGTGTGAGTGAAAGCCTAAGTGGGAAAAAGGTTATAAACTTTACCAAGATGACAATTCATCTTAACCAAACAACTGAACGGAAATTCTTACCCTAATTTGATATGATACATGACCAGATGTTCCGGTAGGACTTTAGATAAATAATTTTTACCCTCGTTCACGTTATTGTACTTGATACAAACATCAACAAATGGCTGTTCAAATATTAAAAATAATTTAAATTAATAATTGGCTAAGTGAAATTTAAATAATTTAATAATCCAACCAATCGATAACCAGGTACACAAATGCGAGTCAATCAAAAACCAGATTCCAATCAATCAATTAACCAACCTCGTAGCCAATGGGAGACTTTTTACTTTTCGAAAATTTATCCAGTTCTAACCACTGACCCAATTCGGCCAACTTTTGAATCTTTAGCCACCAAAATCTGATGACGAGGACGATAACGATAATGATGATTATGGTGAAGATGATGATTATGATACTAAAAAAGATAATGATGATAGTGATGACGACGACGACGATAAGAGATGATGACGTTACGAATGAAAAAACTAGTACTGACAGAAGACGACGAAAAGATTTGTGATAGAGAAGAAGATGTTAATGATGATATGATTATATCGACGACGGGTTAACCTTTTGTCACTTAATTTGAAATCTTTCCTCATCTGTTCAACGCGCTATTGAGGTAATTATTTATTTGGATTTTTAATAATAGCTGATAAATAAGAGTTAAAATAGTAATAAAAATAATAATAATAACGACAACAACAATAAAAATGAATAATAATGATGATAAACAATCAATAAATCTGACCTTGTGTTCCTCCTTACCAATGAGTTGACCAATGGTATCATCGATGGAGAGATCAATGAATGGAAGATTCATCTCTTCCTCCAAACGTCTTTGAAGTTTCAGTAGTTTTATCTGGTCTTCTATCAGCTTGCATGTGTGTGTGTGTGTGTGTGTGTTTGTTTGTGTGTGTTTGTGTTTGCGTGTGTGTGCGCGCGCGCGCGCGCGCGTGTGTGTGTGTGTACACTGTATACATTTTGTCATTTTGTATGGTAAAATGACATAGTTTTTGTAAGCATTTATGTAATATTTTTATTGTTTGTGTATATGAATTTATGTATGCTACAATTATAAGTTTGTTTGTACATTAGCATATGCAGATGCAGTTGTATTGTAATGATACTGAGATGTACCTTTGCAAGAAAATCGTTCTTCGCTTTCACTGATGCTTCCTGTGCTGCTATGAGGGAACCAAGCCTTCGTTCAAATTTCTTGGAGAAATAAAAAAAAGTCTCCATCGCCACCACCATCATCAATATTCAACAACATCCCCATCATTATCAACATTCTCATCATCACCATTAACATTATCAATAGCAGCCTTATCCTCATCATCACCATTAACATCATCACCATTAACATCATCAACAGCGTCCTCAT